AAAGGTATAAACCATATGCAAAGGATAACCATTATTTGAAAAAAAAAATCACAAGAAAATTAATTTCTTGATCAAAGTTATTCCAATTTGAACATATTCTGTAGAGTATTATTTGCATTTTTCTTAAAAATATCACTGGAACAAAAGAATTAAAATTTAAACCTAAACCAGTAAAAGTTGGTTTTCTAAAAACATTAGTGTTGAACCCATTAAGGTTATTCACTTTGACATCAAGAAATGACGATGAATTATCCACTTCACACTCTGCAGTAAAACGTATATTACTATGTTGTGCGTTAAAATACTCTCTAAATTTCTCAATATGACATTGGTCCTTAAATAACAAAAAAGTGTCATCTACATATCTCCTGTACAAGACTGGTTTAAAGTCCAAAGGACATTTATCAAGCCAATTTTTTTCATGAAAACTCAAAAAAGCATTAGCAAGTGCAGGACCTAAGGGAGACCCCATTGCTACTCCATCAAATTGTTTATAACATATATTATTGAACATAAAGGCAGAGTCTTTAACCGCTAATTCTAACAACCGTCTGAACATTGTACTACAAAATCCAGACACTAAATTAGTGTCAGCAAATAACTGATTAACACAAATATCAATGGTTTCCAACAAAGGAATATTAGTAAAGAGTGATTCAACATCGAAACTAGCCATTATAGTTGGGAACTTAAAATTTAAAGAGGAAAGTTCCTTTACAAAATCCTGAGAATTTCTCACAGTAAATTCATTATGCGTTAACGGTTCTAATAATGGAACCAGAAACTTTGCCAGTTTGTAATTAAAAGTGCCAATTGCTGATAAAATAGGACGAATTGGTATACCTGTTTTATGAACTTTAGGTAACTCATATAAGATGCCTGGCTTAGAGCCAGTTGCAAGCAATTTTGTATAATCAAAAAGAAAGTCTTTCAGACCTCTTAAAACTCTATTTAGTTTATCCTCACATTTCAAAATATACGAAAAGGTATAGTGGTTTTGGACAAGTTAGATTATGTAAATAAGGTTGAAAGGTTGTTAGAAGACCCCTCTAAATTTAATTTGGTTGATATAGACCCCCTTTTCAGTCCCTGAGCTCATAATGGGCTCAGGGACTGAACCCCACAATTCATTTAGCTAAGCATCTAATTGCCAATTATGTCTATGTATATACAATGATCCACAGTGTTATGAATAGTACTACCTAAACAGGAGGATAGGTTGATTTTGAAGAAGACTACTCACAAAAGGTTATATGTAACACAAACAAGGAGCAACAGATTCAAGCTCAACCATTCACAATGTAGGACAGACAACAGGAGATGCTTTTTCACTCATAAGGTTATATACCCAAAAAAAAAACGCCTACCCACCACAACCGAAAATGTCAAACCTTACTACAATTTAAGATAAAAAATAATATCAGAACAAATGGGGTGGGAAGAACCTTTTACAAGCTGCTGGCTTTCTGTCCTCGTAGAGGCCACTGATAATGTTTGTCCTTCGGAGTCGAAGATGACCCTGACTGCAATATCAGGTCGAAGATCAGTGGCTGTGTGAGAAAAGATGGACGACGAGACTAATCTGGGCCCAGAAGGCTCATCCACACACTTGACATATGTGAGTGGGTGCTGCTGAAGTAGTAGTTGTAGTGCTGTAGAGACCAATAGAAATACTGTATGGTGAAATCAGCCAAATTGAAGTAAAACTTAAGCCGAGTAACCACCGTCATCTTCTTAATTAAAAACACTTTAATGCTCTCCACGAACAGGACCAAAACTTGCTGGAAGTGGAATCACCGTTTCGGGCAATCGAGCGGCAACACGGAAAAGTGTATACTCTTTACTGTGCTGACCTTAATTTTCTATGTACATATTTCATTTTTGTACCAATGTGTTCGCAATAGAATATTCTAGAAGAACATATGTATAAAATGTCACCAAACTGTGATTTAAACCACCACCAAATAAAGAAACTATGTGGATCACTAGCCGTGAGCTCCAAACAGCGACCAGATGTTTCCATTCTTTTCAGGGTTGTCAACTCCACACTTATTCTACAGCGTTAAATTTGGTATCTCTGAGATTGCAATAAAATTCCCTACACGGACATATGCATAAAAATGTAGAATCATGATCGCGGCCCACCCGCAAGAGTGTGGGAAGTGGTTGAAGTGTTACCTGTTACTGCACATCAGCGAAACCTGTATTGAAAAATGAATAGTCTTTTTACTGTCCAGACCTTAATTTTCTATATACGTATTTCATTTTTGTACCAATGTGTTCACAATAGAATGTTCTAGTAGAACATCTGTACAAAATGTCACACAAGAATGCGTTAGACCGGCACCAAATAAAGAAACTTCGTCGATTACACTCGCCGTGTCAACAATACAATAGTCTTACGGCGAAGATACAAGACAATGCCGTTCTCCTAAATAGGCAATGTGGGTATTAGAGAAAACGTAAATTTTATGGCAAACATGTTCATACTATCCCCAAGTCGATCGGATTAGAATTGAATTTTATAGAAATATTTGTTCGTCAGACATAAAAATATGTCACCTGCAGATTTTCAAGTGACCCCTGGAGGACACAATTTTGTGTCCGAGGAAAGTGATAATTATTAAGTGAGGCTGTTCCATGCTAGATCACAATAAATTTGTTAAAAAATTGAACTGCTACATCTCAGATTTCGATTAAATCTGAGATGTAATGAAATGTAGGCCCAAACTTTTTTGGCACTGTGGATTTAAGTTGCTTCTGGGGTTCCTCTGGGATTAGGGCACCTGAAATTTTAATTTTCATAGTAGATCCACCCATAACTACCAGTGTATGCTACAGTGTTTTCTAAATTATATAAAAGTAGTCTATAATTGATTTATTATGCACTCTATACCCATCCTGTCAAGTTACCAACATGCCCAAGTCATTAGATAATGAGAGTTGCTACCATGTTATTGTTTCTAATATTTACCCGAGGGCCACTAACACTAGTGGCCTCAACAAGGACAGGAAGTTGTCAGCTTGTCAAAGGTGTATCCTGTATCCAAACGCCTGTATTTACCTGAATTTAACTGTATCCAAATACATGAATCCAAAATGTATATGCCTAAATCCAAATACAGTAGCACAGCATCCCAATGGGGCCTATGTCAAAATATGGTGCTCCTTAAACTTTCCGAAGTTACATTGGCCAAGACCATGTTAGACTGGAGATTGTTAGGTTAGGTTTGATTGATTGGAGACTGGAGGTTAGGTCCCAGTAGTAGTCGGGTTCTTTCTCAATTCACAATCGAGAATTCCAGGGTTCGAATACCAGGCAGAACAGAAATGTCTGGCCGTATTTCCTATTACATAAAGCGTCTGTTCACCTAGCAGCAAGTAAGTACTCAAGACATAGTCAGCTTGTTGGAGGCCTGACAGCTAAGTTGGCAGCGCTTAGGATTCATAGTCCTAAGGGTCCGGGGTTCGATCCCTGGTGGAAGCAGAAACAAATCGGCAGTTTAATTCACTCTGATGCAACTGTTCACCTAGCAGTAAATATGTACCTGGGAGTTAAGACAGCTGCTATGGGCTGCTTCCTAGGGAGCAGGTGTGTGTGAAAATTAGGATTAAGGACTTGCCCGAAACGCTATGCGCGCCAGTGGCTGTACAAGAATGTTGTGGAGATTGCATCCTTGAAAGGGGGAGAGGGTCAGTAATTCGACAACTGTGGGGAGGGGGCCTTGAGATGGCCTAACATGTATAAACACACTCTGGCTGCCTGTCCCCCGACACAATGAACTATTATTAGTTTATCTTGGTCTATGTTACCTGGCTGGAATAGAAGAGAATGTAGCCCCTTATTTACTGGCTATTATCTTTTATTTTATCTTCTACCTTACTGATTTTACTATTATCTTCTTAATTTCGTCTCTACATTCTTGTCTATATTTACCAAAAGTAATGTCGATGGTGGATAGGAAGCCGGCGGCTTGTCGAAGGTCTGACCGTCTGCCTATTATCCCGGAGTACTGTCCTCCTGCAGGGTCGCCATGACCCCTGGATTGTTTACATCGCTGGAGTGCAAGGAGCTCAAGTCCTCAACCCTCGCAAACCTCAACCATTGTGCGCGTTAATGGCTCAGTAAAAACAAAAACAAAAAATGCACACTAAAACTGTTATATATTTGACCATGTGTCATATGTTTATATAAGAACAAACAAATGCTGTTCAGTTGTGTTCATTTTTTTCAGCCTTCTGTCCCAACACAAGCACCTGGCACGGGCTTCAACAGGCTAAAAGGCATATTACGTGCTCTGTTGGGTCTACATTATCGACAGCCGCCTTCTCTAGCATGTGTGGGCACGTGATTATCTATTCGTGGATCTCTCACTAGCTCATGCTAGTAAGATGTCCACGCTAGTGAGATGGAAATTGCAAAGGGAATGTAGCGATTGTTGAGACACACTGTGCACCCTATTTGATATTCCAGACGCGAGGGCCGGGGTAGTGTAGGGCGCAAGGGCTTGATATGGGCGCCACACACAAAAAAAATCCCTGGTTCCTTGTCTATAAATACATGAGTCAACTGGCTATGGAGATGGTAATATATTTTTGTGCAAATATGATATAATTAAGCAGTAATCAAAGTAAATAAAAAACTGAATTTGTTTCACAGTAAGTGGAGAAAATTAATTTATGTTTTGTTTTAAGACATGTTGATTGCCACAAAAACTCCAGACGCTCAGTCTGTGTTGATGGTGCGCGTAGAGGAGCCGCGGCCATACATCAGCCGCAGCCATACACCAGCCGCGGCCATATACCAGCCGCAGCCATACACCAGCCGCGGCCATACATCAGCCGCAGCCATACACCAGCCGCAGCCATACACCAGCCGCGGCCATATACCAGCCGCAGCCATACACCAGCCGCGGCCATATACCAGCCGCAGCCATACACCAGCCGCGGCCATACACCAGCCGCAGCCATACACCAGCCGCAGCCATACACCAGCCGCAGCCATACACCAGCCGCGGCCATACACCAGCCGCGGCCATACATCTGCCCGGTGACCCTTAAGACAGATATCTAAAACTAATTTTAGATCTGCCATATATCTGCAGTCTGCGATATTTCAAGTAAGGACAGTATTCATTATCAAATGTTTTAACCACATGCAATGTTCAATTTCATTCTTTATTATGCACCCCATACCCATCCCGTGGGCGGTGGTGTAAAGGATTACAGAGGCACATAATCGGTTCAGGAACTGAACCCTCTAGTTCGTTTATCTAAGCAAATAACAATCTTTTGACGCTAGTTACAAAATTATTAATGTTATATATACATGTACACATACTCATGCATGCATGTACATATACATACGTATACATATATACATACACAAATACATATTTAATCACCCACACAAATACACACATCAATAATCTTTTGTGTCACAAGTGATTCAACAAGAGGCTCACAACAGTCACTATACAAGGCACTCTACATCTATGGTGAGTCACACAGTTACTAGTCTTGCTGCACACCCACCCAACTGGGCGGCAGCTTTACAGTCATGTGCATGCATTACTTACAGCAAGCAAATTTTGGATACTTCGCTAAGATTTCGGGCAGCACATCATTATGAATGAAGTACTTACACATTTCTTGGACACTATTGATGGTGTTATCTCTAAATTCCGCGATTTTTTCACATTCCATTATATAATGTCGCAAAGTATGCGAATAGTTCTGCTGACAGAGTTTACATTTAGTCAAATCTACATCAGCAGATGTTACAAATTCCCAGAGGTACTTGTAGCCGAGCCTAAGCCTAGCAGTGGTAACATCAAGAAGTCTGCTAACCTTATTGGATGACCCATAGACGTGCGGTACTTCCTGCATAATAGAATGATGATAGATGGACTAACTGGTGTGAATTTCACTTTGCCTCAAATCTCCGAAAGTTAGTTGATGTTCCCGGAATATTACTGCCCTCAGGCTGCTCAAAGGCAGTCCAAATTGGTAATCAATTCCCTCTTTACGAGCAAAAGTCTAGATACTGTTAATATGTATACGTTTGTATCATAGTGGCCCTTCAGATAAATTATCACATTAATTAGCATCAGTTATACATGTAACCTGTACTCACCTAGTTGTGCTTGCGGTGGTTGAGTTTTGGCTTTTTGGTCCTGCCTTTCACCTGTCAATCATCCGTTGTACAGATTCCTGCGCTTACTGGGCTCTATCATATGTACGTTTGAAACTGTGTATGGAATCTGCCTCCGCCACATCTCTGCCTCGTGCAATCCTATTGTTAATTTATTTACCTAAGGGCCACTGACACTAGTTGTCTCGACGAGGACAGGAAGCTGGCGGCTTGTCAGAGGTCCCCCTCATTTACCTTCATGATCTTTCCCAGTTAGATTTTTAAAATTTAACGCAGTTTTGGCATTTATATGGCTTCGGCGGGTAGGCGAAGGCGTAATTTTCTGCTGAGCTCTTTCTGCCTTTTTTAAAATAGGGGTGACATTTGCATATTTCCAATCTATGGGGGACTATCCCGTTATCCAGAGATTTGTGAAAAGTAATTTCAGTGGTAGACAGAGTTCGTCTGCCAGTTCCTTTATAACTTTTGATTAGATTCCATCCACAGCTGAGGCTTTTGTGTCTTTTAGTTTGTCAATGTTTCTTCTTGATTATCTTGAGGTTATCTTGAGATGATTTGGGGCTTTAGTGTCCCCTCGGGCAGGTCCTCGACCAGGCCTCTACCCACAGGAAGCAGCCCACAACAGCTGACTAACTCCCAGGTACCTATTTACTGCTAGGTAATAGGGGCATCAGGGTGAAAGAAATTGTCCGATTTTTCTCTCCGGCGCCCGGGATCGAACCCGGGACCACAGGATCACGCATCCAGTGTTCTGTCCGCTCAGCCGCCGGCTTCCTTATTATGTCGGCTCCTGATTATGTCGCATATTATTGGTATATCCCTAAATTCATTCTCTTCACCTTCAAACATGTCTGTAGGTAATGGGATGTCATCTAACCTCGCTAGTGTGAACACTGATGTGAAATATTCATTCGGAGTGTTTGCTGCCCTTTTATCGTCCATTATAACTTGGTGAGTCTCATCTGTTAAGGATCATACCGAGTCCTTTGTTTTGATTTTACTTCTTATGGTACGGGTACAGAGCACAGGGTACAGGTCACAGGGTACAGGTCACAGGGTACAGGTCACAGGGTACAGGGCACAAGGTACAGGTCACAGGGTACAGGTCACAGGGTACAGGTTACAGGGCACCTTAGAGAAGGGTCGATGGCCAGGGGAGAGGTGTATGAGCGCTTCAGCGCACAGCGTATAGTGACCCAGCGCGCGCTGGTGAGCCTGGCTTTTTTTTTTTTTTTGCAGGGATATACCTGCTCGACCCATAAGCGTCTGACTGGCCCACTAAGTGTTGCTTGTTTCTGTTTTACTTGGGCGAAGTATGAGTATTTATGACTCGTATGGTCGCTTCAGTAAGATTTTGCCATATGTGTTTAACAATTTCTTCTGCTCTGTTGAATCTAAGTTGAAATCTTAATGGGTTTGTAACTGTGCACTGTGTTGAGCCTGGCTGGTGACCTCCCTGTACCACTGGTGTACCCTGCCTGGCTGGGGAGAAGCCTGGCTGGACAAATACCTCCACCGATGCGCACGAGTTAGAATCTCACCCCCCCCCTTCCCTTCCTCCGATAATTCGACTATTTTTTACTTATTAATTTGTTCGTATTGGTGATTCAAACATACTATGGCGATAAAAGTTTATTAATTACTTAAATTATTAATAACTTTAATTATAAATGATATAAATTTGAAGGTAATACTATTGGTAATAAACATAGGTAAAAGTCATGCCTGGTGATGTTAACCCTGTGGCCCTCAACCGTTCCCTAGTCGGAGAGTTGATTTAGCTCTGGAGTGATTTTTGTCGCCCGGTGTTGCACTTTCTCCAGAGCAGCTATGTTTTTCTGTAGATGAGGTCTCCATGCTTGGATACAATGTTCCAAGTGGAGACGCACCAGGGATTTATTTATTAATTCAGTGTGTTGGGGGACAGGCAACCAGTTTATACATACAGTATATGTTAGGCTTATATTGTGGTCCTACCCAGGGTTGAATTACTGACCTCAGGTTGCAACCCCACAACTATCTCCTGGGTACCTGTTTATTGCTCAACAATTTATGTGCCGCCCGGGATCGAGCCCGGAATCCTCGATTGTGAGTCGAGAACGAACCCGACTGTACTACCGGGGTACCGGAGGACCTTAAAATTTATACAGTTGAATCACTACTTTCTCTTCCTTAAAGGCAAAGGTACGATTTATTATTCTAGGGTCTGGTTACCTTTTTTTTACTGCTGATCCTACCAGTTACGCAACTTTCAGTCAGTGGTGGAATTCGGCTCCATGGTCCTTTTCTTAATCAATCTGCTGCAATCTGCTACAGAATTAACAATCTTTGTGCTCTGGAAAAGAATGTTAACTCCCTACCTGTGTAAGTACCATATCTCTAACTGACACGTAGGGGTGCGAAGTGTCAATTAATGACAAGAACTGCTTGTAGGGGTCCCAACCTTACAACATAGTCCGTGCGAGAGGAACTTTGGCCCTCTTTATCCTCCTACGTTTGGGTTGCAAAGATGTGGGTGTACTTGACCCGAAGACAGACCAAAGTACCAGGGTACCAAAGGGGGTGATCTGTGGGCCTTCAGCCTGGCCCCACCAGACGGCGCCTCGCGCTCTCTTCATTGCTGGCGCTGAAAAGCCTCCGCCTCCCCCCCCCCTCCTTCCTGAGGACAATGGCAGGTGTGCAGGTGGATACATGTACCTCACCTGCCTCAGCTTCATTACAGAGTGTGTGCTCCCAGCCACGTCAGCAGCCCCGCTCCTCTGGCAGGTAAGTCCACTACGGGCTCGCCGTAGCCCGTGCTGCTCGGAACTTCTTGTTCTCAGTAGCTGAATCTAACACAACAACAACAGCCAGCCCCCTTTTCCCAGGCCTTCGGCTCCTACACACAGGTGCTCTGTTCCTGTACCCTCTCGGGTGGGGGGAGAGGGAGCAAAGTCTGACCCCCCCCCCTCCGGCAATACAATGTTACTGTATTACATTGTTAATTTACCCATGGTAGCACTTTCACCAATGTAATCCCCATTGTTAGACTTACTCTCTAGACGTTACACATTATTCAATTTACCCTTGTTACACTTACCAGTTTAATATACAAGGTTAATCTCACGATGTTAAACTTAAATAACTTGAATTCAAGAAGTTACAATACATTGTTAACTTCCAACGTTAATGTTGTCGCAAGTTATTTTACCCAGAGTAAAACTTCACCAATGTTAATTACCCTTATTATTCTTACCAAAGTTAATGCACAAGGTTAATTTATCCAATATTAAAATGCACCTTATTTTATTATTTCATAAAAATTGTATATAATGTATAATTAAATGTATTAATAAACTTTTATCGCCTAACGTGTATGAATCACCGAGACGAAAAATAGCTATTTCAGGTTGAAATGCAATACTGTTTTACGTTGGTGAGCTGCCACTGTCACCAGGAGTTTAAATATAACGTAGTGTAGGTTAATGCATTACATAAGTGAGGTTAGATGGGGTATGTACTAAATTTAAATTGTTAAATTTTTGCCCCGAGGGGCGAGTATATTGGGCAGCGCCACTCATCTTGTGAGTGGACATTCCACCATAGCAGCCTGTACAACACTCCCCAAAATGAAGAAAACCCGCTGGGTTGCTCATCCTGTCTATCCAAAAATTACATTTTCACACACATTGCACTGAAACATGCAATAGCTCTCCAGGCCATAGGAAAACTATACAGACTTAGATTTGCCAAACCTGATACAAAACTGCACCTCTATAAAGCACTTGTCAGACCTCTTCTAACATATGCTCCACTTGCTCTTTCCTTAGCCCCACCCACTAATAAACTAAAACTCCAGAGATTTCAGAATGGAGCACTTTGATGGATACTTAACACTGGATGGAACGACTTCAATACCTGTGAAAGCCTTCATGATAGTACTAACATTCCTGTCCTCAATGTCTACTGGAAAACTTTACTAGACAAACAGCTTGAGAGACTCCTCTCCTGTCACTAACAACACAATGACTTTCTCTTACACACTCCTAGACAAGCACGCAACACACATGATTTCTTCTCTCTCCATCATCCTTCTCCTAACTCTATAGTTCGTTAATTTATAGCTCTCAACACCCTGCACCACCACAAGTTCTAGCTCTCAACACCCTGCACCACCACAAGTTCTAGCTCTCAACACCCTGCACCACCACAAGTTCTAGCTCTCAACACCCTACACCACCACAAGTTCTAGCTCACAACACCCTGCACCACCACAAGTTCTAGCTCTCAACACCCTACACCACCACAAGTTCTAGCTCTCAACACCCAGCGCATACTATCCGCATTGTGGTTTGAACAAAAGTCGTCAGCGAAACACTTGTTCCGGAAGTTTTCAGAAGTCATCAGTTATGAGTCGTGTGTAAACCGTTTTTCATTCATTAACAGGCGGGGTTTGGCGGGTGCATAGAATCACTTTTGGGTCTTTGTTTGGAGGACGAGCTGGATGATGCGTGGGTTTGATGATGTCCCTGATGTTGTCATTGGGACACTGGACTGAGTACTTGCCTCGAATTCCGCAACCTAACGATATGCAACTGGGTTTAGCCCTGGAACTTTTTCTCCTAGCACTAACTCCCCCTCCCTCCCCCCCTTCTACTTATGTTCCACTTCCTGTTCCCCCCCCCCCTCCCTCGGGGGCGTCTGATCCCGTATCTAGTCGTAGCCTTCACAGGTTAGGTTATGTTGTTGTGGTGAACATACTATACACCACATGTCATACACCAGGTTATGTTGTTGTTGTTGTGGTGAACATACTATACACCACATGTCATACACCAGGTTATGTTGTTGTGGTGAACATTACTATACACCCCTTGCCATATACACGGTCAGTTTGGACTCATAAGTAAGATAAATATCAAAGATGTTAGAATAATTAATACAACCGTGTATTGCCAAACTGAATAAATCAATAGAAACACATTTATTTATTATTTACAAGATGGTACATACATTAGGCGTGTGAGAGTATATAGCAATGGTGTTCTTGCAAAGCCACTAATTCGCTTAGCATTTCAGTTATCGTGGCTTGCTAAATGGGACTGTGAGTAATAAACCAATTACAGAGTAATTATGGCGATATTTAACCATAAAATAATGGTTATAACGCATATAATAATACAATTATTACATGCGTGACAAACATGCGCAGAGACATGCTAGTGGTCCTGGGCGCAGTTGGGGCGTCAGTGCGAACGCGGCTTGTGAGAGGTGAGGAAGTGGCTCTAAGGAGCACTGGGCGGGTTTCTAATTAGTTTTGTCGAGAACAGGCATTCTGCGTATATATATGTACGTTAGGCTTATATCGAGAATTCCCCAAAGTCGATCTACTGATCTTTTTCCAGGATGCAACCCCACAACAGCTGACTAAATTCACATAAACCAATTTACAGCCAGGTAAACAGAGCCATTAGGTGATAAAAAAACTTTCCCAACAATTTCTGTCCAGCGCGGGATTCGAACTTGGGATTCACTTTGAGAGTCGAGAACGAGCGTCTTTGTTATTCCGAAAGTTAACATAATTGTATGAATATTGCGTCCTTTTTTCACTTTGTGTATCTTATTGTCAGAAAACATACATAATTAAACCCATCTACAGTAAGAACTGTAGACGTGTAAAAATTCGGAACTATGGTGGTGGTGTGATAATAGTTGGAGGGCTGATATGGGACATGTATAGGAGGGTAGAAATAGCCTAAGCTATTTTATCCCTTTGAGATGTATTTTATTGTCTCAATAAACGTACTTTAATTTAAACGTGTGTGTGTTGACTGTTAGACATAATGCCCTGAAAGTTTTAAATGCGAATATAAACTCATATCATGATCATTTCCGTTCATTAAACTGACCTAATAGGTAGCTTGAGGAATGTCACAGCCAGGGAGGTGGCCGCCATAAACCATTGGTAAGACTTAGCTGTAGAGTAAGTATACTTCTGCTCGGCCCAGTCCAACTGGTTACATTCTGTATATATACTTGGGTATACCCGTAGTACAATACGTTGATGTATTGGGCACGACAGTCGTATTTTGCACGTTACATCCATAGATGCTATAGGTACCACCAGTTGTAGTGGCTGGAGTTAGTCATGGTGCTTGTCTACCGTGTGTAGTGACATCTGTGTTCCTATTTCCATCTCTCCACAAGCCATAATTTATGCCTTGTTACTAGTAAACAAACTAGGGGAGATTTAAGTGTTTAACATTTCGTGCACAATTCTCTAAAGTGACTTTTATTTGTAGCGATGGAGTCGAGTGGGCCGGATGAAGCATCGTTGAGTCCAACAACACAGGGTGAGGAGCCCTCCGACCTGCCTCAAGCTGCTCCTCTCTACCTTCCTGACGCCTTCCCGGACTGGAGCACTGTGCTCCTCTATCTGACGGGCAACATTTTTTGTCTCGTAAGTTTAGATTTCAGAATTAGCGATTCTTCCCCCCCCCCCCCCCCCCCGGTATAGCTCTTGTGTATTTCAGGCAAACATTTATATCGTCCGCTGGTGACGATCGAGGAATTACAGGTAATGTTTGCCTGAAATCTCCTGCAAGCAATATTAATGCGTTCCCAAATGGTCTGATGTTTCCACGCAAATCTTGCAATGATCGATCTAGAGCCTCTAGCAATTTTTTGTGGGGCATTGTGCATTCATCCCAAACAATAAGTTTGCATTTCTGCAATACTTTTCCCATGCCGGACGCTTTGGAAATGTTGCACGTGGGAGTTTCAATGAACTGCATGTTCAGTGGTGATTATAAAGCCGAAGTAGATCTTCCACCTGATAAGTGTCGTAGCAATTCTGGACGATGCAAGAGCTAAGGTTATGCCATTTTGGGATCGAAATGCTGCCAGAATCAATCTAATTAGGAAGGTTTTACCAGTTCCTCCTGGCGCATCTAAGATGATTTCTAAGCCCGTTATTGACAGTTTGAATTATTTGATTATAAAAGCCTTTTTGCTCAAGCGTTAGCCCAGGAATAATTGATTAAACATACGACAACAGATCACCCGTGTTGTAACATTGTTCACGACGCAATTCTACATCGAACGAAGCAGCAGAAGATCGATTCGGTGATGGCATTTCTAATTGATTGGGAACTTTGTTCGCGATTTCTAAGCACAAATCTTCAATCATTATCATAAATCCATGTTCATATTTGAATTTTCCTTGCGTATTCGACGGATATCTACAGCCATGTGCGATTTATATTTTACCCATAACTCTGTTGGAGATGGAGAGTGGTGGTCAATATGAATGTAAACAATGCACGAATTTGATTTGGATGTGACGTGTTGCACGCGTCATTAATGCATACATTCCAGTGTCGGTCGTTCTCCAATAAATTCAGAGCTTGGCATGCACTACGGAAAGTGGCATGTATTACGCCGTTGACAAATCTCAATGGCTGGAAAGACGTTGGACCGGGCACATTTACCAACAGTATGCGAAGTAAGAAGCATTCATCCTGATAGGGATGCACGGAGTACAGTCTGCCTATCGTAGTTCGTTTGAATATGCCAGGTTGTCCGTCGACTCTCCTCATTTGCGTTGTTCAAATGATTTTCTACTGGCATTCCATGTGTAATACATAGGCGCATCCGAGTACTGCAGTGTTTTCGCAAACGCGTCATTTTGACATAACGTGAAGAAAGCAGTTAAGGTTGTAGCCGGTGGATTCATACCCGTTTGTTGCACATTTGCAGCTGTGAAATAAACGTGTTGTCCATTCTCATGTTTTCAAAACAAAACAAACAAATACTATTTCAAATCAAATGCAGATCAATCGTCACAGCTCAATTTCACCACCAATTGCCCTGAAAAAGAAGTTACAAAAAGAAATAAAAAACAATGAAAAAAGAAACAAATAAACTACACCCACAAAATGAACGGTATGGTAAACACAGCTCAATTCCAATGCAATGTCACACAAAAAAAATAAATCAAAATGAAAAAAAATTTAAATCGATGAAAATTAAATTTATCAATGCAATCGGAAACATTGAAAGGGAATCGTAACATATTTTGTATTGCTTGTTGGTCTTACGTGCAACAGATGGCGCTGTTTAAAAAAAAATGTTTTTACCTGTCACAGGTGTGGCATCTAAATAGTTTTATATAAAAACACGCACGTATTTGAATGGAACGTTGTCAAAATTTCAAAGCAATCGGTGAAGAACTTTCGGAGATTAGCGATTTTCAACAAATGAACATTTCCATTTTAATTTACATAGATTATTCAAAAAGATTGAAATTATGTATTTGCTTTTTATTCTTCCTTACCGACTACTCATTATCTTGGAACGTTCCAGGTGGTTGCATACAACGTCCGGACCTTCTACCAAGCTGTCAGAGGTCATCAGCAGTGTGAGCCAGACGAGGCCAAGATCAGGACGATAAGTGCCAGACCGGGGGAGTGGGTGAGGCCAGTCAGCAACCTGGAGATCTTCACAGCAGTAGCGGCATTTCTTGGCACTGGCAATACAGCTCAGGTGCTGTGGCTCTCCTCGTCTCAGCCAATCACAACTGAACATGTTCTACTCTCGCTCTCAGTCATCGCTAGGTGAGCATCGGCACACATTATTTGTAGTACATGGGTGAAGCATTTACAGTGTTGTGGTTCGAACAAAATTCGTCGGTGAACCACTAGTTTCGGAAGTGTTCGAACAAAATCAGTTGACTCGTGTGTAAACCGTTTCATTCATAAACAGGGGATTGGCAGGTGCACAGAATCGCTTTTGGGTCTTTGTTTGGAGGATAGGCTGCCAGACCAGGCTTTGACTCCGACCAACTGACCCTCTGCTTCCCTTCCACTTCTTAGGCAGGGCAGAGGCCCAGCCCTGGCGGTGACTACCTCGTCACTTGGAATGGTGACATCTCCCGTTGTGACAACTGCACCTTTTACCCTCCTCCTTAATTGGGGATCACGGCCCCCATCATCTCGCTTGAACTCGGATGATTTCTTCAACCACTGCTACATTCCAGGATTTGTTTGGCCCTACTACGTGGCCAAAGTATTTTGATCTTAGTCATGAGGAACATGCATACCCTGATTTACACATCCATAAGTATCTAGTGGACTCTGTATATACTTGTTGCATTTACCCCACTTGGCCTAGCACACGTGTATTTGCGGCGCCTCAGGAAGCAGCTGCTCGCGTAGCTAATTCCTTTCATTGGTGTGACCCTGGTTAGGGTCTACAAGAATGCCCAGTTAAATGCCAGCACTGGCATATGCATTCTCCTACGCTATGTTGGAGATAGGGACCTCAGACTGCCATGAGGATAGTAAATATATTCTCGAGGCAGAAGATTATTCTCTCCCCGAAATTGTTACATTCACTCGTCTTCCTTGCAGTCGTCGACGTCGTAAACATCACTTTCAGGACCCTTCCATAATTCTTGGTGGTACCCAATACGACATTCAGGAATTATTGCTCTGCAATAGGTGTTTGAAATTTAGACATGGATTTTTCGAAGTGCAAGAACAAAATGTCCCTTTGATCCTTATGTGGTGACCCTGTTCAATCTGACAGATTTCTCTTATCCTCAAGCTTGCTGCATTAATTGCAATGAGACCCACTCTACCTTTTCCCACTCATACATGAACTATAAATTTCAGCACACCATCGTAAACTTAAAACATTTCAGTCGTCTATCTTCTCCCAGAGGCAACGCACCTGGCCTCTAATATCTTAATTACGTCATAATTCTTTCTCTGACATGACTTATGGTCATGCATGGCATTTCACTTCTCTTCCCCCACCCTTCTTCCATTACTGAGCTCCACAACTGTTTTCTGCCCCCTCCCTCTGCTTTTCTTACCACTGTGCCCACCTTTACCTTTTGACCCCATCTTTCTTTTCAGATCTCCTGTCTTTTGGTCCTCCCCAAATATCAGTCTAGGCAGATATCCATCCTTCTTCGAGCCATCTTTGTGTTGTCCACACTCATTCTCTCTGCCAAAGACTGGAGGCTGTCGCACACTTCATTGCCACTGGTATGCCTGTGTGAAAATCAGAAACGTAAACTTGGTTCCTCTCCATCTCCAATGAGTAAAATGCATCGGTCCTTTCCCCATCTCCTTTCTCAATAGTGAACCCGGCTGGCTTCGCTATGGAAGTTTCCTTAACCACAGCTTCTATTTCTGGTGCTGTCCTTGATGCAGTGCACACTGCTGTTTTTCTCATTATTCAATCTTAATCCTTCGACCGCACCTCCCCAGTGCCTCCTCCCTTACTGAACCATATTGTTTGCCAATGCTCCTCCCTATCTCAGTCTCGACACTGTTGGACTTCCTATGTCCCCTCCCCCATGATTTTGCTGATCCTCCCTAGTCTCTAAGACCTTTGCCCGTGTTTTTTTTTTTTTTTTTTTTTTTTTTTTGCGCTGACGTCTGTTCTTAAATGAAATATACATGGTTTATATATCATTTTTCACTAGTTCCCACTTTTGATCTTGCAAATTTATCTTTGTGAGTGTCTCAAGGAACAGATACATGGTGTTAACCCTGGTTACTCCAGTGGTTATTACTTACTTTCCTCCCCACCAGCTTTTGCTGGGACCCCTAACATTACTACCCTTGATCCAGAATGATGTTCCCTTTGCCAGTTTGCTTTTTCAGTCAAATGCTCATTCATCTGCCACCCATATCTTTAATTAAATGATTTACTATCTTCCATTTATCTCCTCCCAAATATTCCTCTCTTCTTGATCTTGAACATCATTTGGACTCGTTACAGAGCCTGTACTATTTTCAAGGATTTTTGCAATTGGCATGCCCTCCCTCTGGGGTGATGACCGGAGGCAACCTATTTGAACCTCGAATTCACCAATGACTCCTGAATTTCAGCAAGTCATTTAATGTTGACTTGCACATTTGCTCCTTTTCCTGTATCTTTTCCTTTTTTCTCTGCACTTCCATTTCTATAGACGTGACGTGGAAGGTTATAGATGACCTTAATGGTTACTATTTCCCCATTCTTAAAACCTTTTCTTTCTACTCTGCTCATTCCCTCAGTGGGGAGGGTAAGTTGGCCTGGAGTCTATTAACCCTCTGCACTACTCCTTCCATCCTATCTGATATACCTCTCACCTGAGCCCCCCCCCCCTCCTTTTTTCATGACACCACATTAATGTTGCTTTCCATTGTTCAACGCTATATTTCCCATTCTTTTATGGAAGCGTGTCCTCTAATGGAATTCAGACTGCTGCTCAAGCTGTACACACTAAGGGAGTGGCCAGTCAGACAGACATCCGCTTCTTTTATTTTTTCGAAAGGCGAGTGCGGTGGCCCCTAGGACCATTCATGCAGTTTAACACGAGAGTTGGAAATCTTTTCTCAAATTATGGTTGATACCCCTCTCCCTCAGGTCTGGAAAAGAAATCCATTTTATTAAAAGTAAATTTGTACAGATTGTCGCCTGTACTTCATCTCTGGTTCTGTCATGGTGAATCCTATGTTGGTCGCAAATGAACTGGGTTCATACTTTTCCGCTGTTAAGTCTGGAGCTCAACTTCCAGCTTTTTTTTTTTATTTGTAAGCGCCGTATTAAATCTCGTCCATTGTATTTTCACTCTTCTGTTCTCGTATAACAATGTGTTCTCTCAAATCCTCAGTCACCACTCTGATGGCGAGCTCAGATGGCATTCATAGATTCTTCATGATCTCCTTCAGTACACTTTTCCGTATTTGCTAAATATCTAACATATTTGGGAGACATCAGTCCTTGTAGACTGGCTGGCGGTTCTTCCTGTTTGGAAACCTGGTACTTGAAGGGCGTACCCTAATGATTTTCGCCCATTGTCCTGACGAGTTGCCTCTGCAAGTTTTTTGAACGTATGCTCCATGTAGTGGTTCTAATGTATGGTCTAATATGGTTCTTGGAACACTAACGTCTCGGTCGTCCCATGTCTCTAACCTCGGAGTTGATTTCTCCAAGGACCTTATCTTAGTCTTAGCTTATATGATGAAACTGGCATTCTGTCTCTGCAGGATCGTCGTGATAGTTATTGATTTTGCTACCTTGTGTGGTCTCTGCAACCTCCTCATTCTTGCTTATGCAATGCTTTGGCCGTTACCTCTCAGGTGGGGCTGCTATTCACTTTCACCACCTTTTTTCTATAAGGATATCTCGGTTGCACGATTCCATCTCTGTTCGCGTTTACAATCTCTCCCTCTTGTGCCGTTCCTAACTTGTCCCCCATGGAGAGTACCACTTGCAAACCGTTGAAAGGTTTTGATCCACATGAAGACTTGTACCCCTCCTGTTAAGAAAACCCCTTTCTGTGAACCCTTTCTTCGCACTTACTGTATTGAATTATTCACAAATGGGTCCAAGTCTGCCGACGGTGTTGGCTGCTTTTTAGTCTTTTTTGTTTTTTTATTAAACCAATGTGATGTCTTTCCCCGGAGACTAGGATCTTCATGTCCAGAACTTTATACACTTTGGTATGCTCGTCAACTGCTTTTCCAACATCAAATTCCTTTGTCATTGTGGTTGAATCTCGGTGCCTTTGTGACCGAGTCGTTTAACGCTATGCATCCTGAGGTGATCGAAATCCAACAATCACAGTTTCTCACCTCCACAGGTTTAAGGTAGCAGAGTTTTGTTGGGTTTTCAGTCTTGGTATTGCGTTAAGTGCATGTGCAGATGCTGCTAATTAGACCATCTGCATTTGTTTCCCAAAAAGGTATTCCTTCTTCAGATTTTTACCCAGTCATTCATCCCTCAATCAGTGACTGTTTGCAGGTTCATTGGTTTGGCGTTACAGGTAACAAATTGTGTACTATTAAGGGCAACGTATCCCCTTAACCTGCCTTGTATCACTATAATAGATGATAGAAAATGGCTTTGGCTAGGTTAATATTGGTCACACATGGTTAAATCAAAGGCACTTAATGGAACGCTACCCTGCTTCTTATTGTCCGAACTTATTAGCACCTTTTGAATATCCAGTGACACTGATGGTCCTACATAATCTGTTGGGTGCTATTTTTAGTAATTACATCTTGGAAGCTTCTTTCTGCTACACAAAGTAACAACATTTAAATTTTGTATTCCTACTAAATCAGTTTATTAATACCATAAATTTACTATTGCATTATAATTAACGCATAAGAATATAAAATTGAAGTTCCTTAGTAATACAGCTTTCTAGGAATACTTTATAGTTATTTTTTACATTTACAATAATTAACGTGCTAGAGTACTACCGCAAAAAGTACCAAGATTAATGTCAGGTGGGTTTTAATTAGTTAAGGTATTCCTGAAACTGTGCATTATTATTAGCTTTATTAAAACTGTTGAAATCTCTTATTGTTAATCGGTACAGTTGTATTTTAATTATAGTTCAAACACCTTAAAGTCTACATTTTTAAAGTTTTATGAATGCATTACTTTCTTAGTTTAAGGATGGTACTGTTTTGTGATTTATACATTACAGTTGTCTCTGCTTGCAGGAAAATTCATGTTCTGCAGCTCTCCCTTGTTTGGCGGTGGTTCCGGCCGTGGCTACGACGAATGAAAGACTTTGCGATTGATTTCGATGTTGACACGGGCGACGCCATGACGGTATACTACCAGCAGATTCAAGCACCTTACAACAATTCCCGGGGACCATTGTGGCGGGCTAGGCTGGTCCCTCTGCCACAGCCATCACCTGACCGCCATGAGGCCGTCCTGGTGATCACCCTCCACCACGTCATCATAGACGGATTGACTAATATGATCATCTCCCGTGACTTGCTGGAGGTGTTGAACGCTGTCATGACTGGACAGGAACACAACACGCCCACACGTCCTATCATACCTGATATTGCTGGTGAGCTGGGAAGCATGAAAGACTGGATATACTGTCTCAGGGTGTGCTTTCCTGTAGCATTAAAAGTAATAGCCAATATCTTCAGTGGAAAATGCTACAATATTAGTCTTCCCCAACCAAGGACAAAATTGGCACTTACAAAGGTAGTACGTGAAGACTTCTCGGTCGAGACAACACAACAGCTGTTAAATCATTGCAAGGAAGCAAAAGTCAGCATTCACTCGTGCATTATGGCAGCAGCTTATGTGGCCTTTCTACGCACTGCTCAGGATCATACCAAAGAAAAGTTAGATGCACTAACAATCACTTATGATAACGCTGTTAATGTGCGACGCTATTACCCTAGTGTTTACCAGGAGAGTCTGGGGTGCCATGCATCCATGTGCAAGCAAGAATTCGTCGTCCGAAGTATTGATTCAGAAAGCAAGAGCAGCTTTTGGGCACTAGCTAAGCGTATGCATGATGGGCTTCATCAGAGTCTAGTTGTTGGCAAGGCACCTCTTACAATCTCTCGACTTGGATGGCTACTGTCTGCTTTTGAGCCCGTTAATTACTTGTTGACTCGTCTGGGATACAAGAACCTAATTAACACCAACATGACGTGCACTAACATGGGCAATCTAAAGAATATCTTGCCAGGTAAATATGGGGACGGACCCGTGGAGATCACCAGCCTGCTTCGGTCCACAGCCTCTGAGCTTGTAGGAAGCCCTTTCTTGATAGTCTTCCAGACCTTTGAGGGAAGGTTATTAATGTCGCTTGACTATTACACCAATAATGTTACGGAAGAGGTAGCAAATAAGTTCTTCTCTTGCCTAACACACAATGTTATTAATGTCGCTCACTTTGGATCCGTACAAAAATTATGAAACTGCAACCTTAAAACTTTGTTAACAGTAATAAATAATTAAAATAAAATCATCCTATTTTGTAACCCTTCCCTTTCCCTGTCCAGCTCGTTACTGCCATGAGGGGGCTTGGTGGGCGGCTATCGGAGTGTGATGCTCCTTGGGGCGGTCCCCTGTCCTTTTGTAGCCTTGTGCTTCTGCTGCTGTCCTCACAAATTTTGCTGGATGCCTTTTCCTTTTGTTTAGTTTTTCTCCCCCTCCCCCCTCTTCTCCTTTCTCGTTGTCATTTCCGGCTGACCTTGTGCCTGCCTTGATCATTCTTTTGGTCTTTTGTTTTGACGCCCGGGTGTTTCAGGAGGCATACTCTTGCACCCGTAGAACTGTAGTACCTAACGTCTTGAGCGAGGGGAACCTTTTGTCAATCCCCCTTTCGTCACTGAACCCGATCTCAACGGACTGTCGGTTCTTAAGGTGGCGTTTGTGGGGTGTGTACTCACAACGCACCCTAGGGAGCCAGACGTGTGATCGGCGATAGCTTCTTGTTCGGTGTCCTGCCTCTAATTGTGGTTCCATGGTGGGTGTGGGGGCACATTCGTGAATGAAAGTGTTTCTTTTCGTATGCATGTCTATATGAATGTTCCTCTTGTACCCTCTCAGACTCGTGGGGTGGGCGACCAAGCCCCCCCCGAGTCTGACTGTATTGGAAGACCGGGCTCTGTAGCCCCCGCTGCGTTGGGCCCCGACCTTGCTCCTCCTTTGACCCTCCTGACTACTCCCCTCGGCTTCCCCCTCCCCCCTCCTCTGTGGTTGGGTCGAGCCACAAGCTCCCAGTGGTGACCACCTTGTCCCCTGGCACAGCTCAGTCTCTCGTGACTACTGCACCTTTTAAACCCCCCCCCCCACCCCCCTCTGTCTCTGTCTCTGTCTCCCTGGAGGTTCTCGACGCCGTCCACGCCACAGCTGCACTCGCTCGATTCCTTCCCGTACTGATGTGTATCCAGCCTTCTTTAGTCCCACTTCATGGGCCAAATACTTTGATTTCCCTCTTGATTCTATGCCTCCTGACGATTTCTCCCTCCATAGGTATCTTGTTGATTCCGTAGATGCCTCTGTTACCTTCAACCCCACCCGTCTCGGTACATGTGACATTGCTGCTCCTTCTCAGGATGCAGCTACTCGCTTAGCCGCTTTGTCCTGCATTGGAGAGACCCCTGTTCGGGTCTCCAAAAACCCTCTGTTAAATGCCAGTGTTGGCACTGTTCTCCTCCCACACCATGTTGCAACTGGTGTTTGGGACCTCAAAGATTGCCATGAGGATATTAAACATATCCTCGAAACCCAAGGCCATTCTGTCCTCTAGGTGGACACGTTTACTCGACCCCCTCGTGGTCGTCGCCGCCAGCCCCTTCGAGTTGTAAAAATCACCTTTGATAGTCGGGCCCTTCCACCCTCTATTATTCTTGCTGGTGCCAGATGCTCCGTTCAGGAGTACATTCCCTCTCCTAGACTTTGCAATAAGTGTTGGAAGTTCGGGCACGGTGTCCTCAAATGCACCAATACTGTGTATCTGTGCCCCTTGTGTGGGGACGATAGTCATTCTAAGTCCGAGTGCACTTCACCCCAGGCTAGCTGCCTCAATTGCGGTGAAGCCCACCCTACCTTCTCATGCTCGTGTATGCACTACAAACTCGAGGAAGCCATCCTCAACTTGAAGCACCGTGATTGTCTGTCTTTTCTTGAAGTGAGACGCCAAGTTCGTCGTCTCGCCCCTTTTGCAGGCGTCTCCTACGCTCGCATGTTGCGTTCTACCTCTCCTCGCCCTTCCCGTCTTCCTCAGTCTCTCAACCGTTTCCAGGCCTTAAACCCATCCACACCCAACCCCTCCTCCCCTATTCTTTTGCCTCCTGTCCCGGATAGTCTCCCTCCCGGTTCTCCATCTGGGGTTTTCCCCCTTTCTACCCAGTCCACCATATCTTTGTCTTCTTCCGAATCTCCCCCCACTCTTTCTTCCCGACCCTCCCCCCAGTCTCTTGACCCTCCACGCCACATGTCTGTCTAGGCTGATATCCATCATCCTCCCAGCAATTTTCGTGTTGTTTGCTTCCGTTCCTCTTCTCCTGCTGAGACCATTGAGTTTGTCGCCCGGTACGTTGTTACTGGAACGCCTGTCTCTTCAAGTCAGAAACGTAAGCCTGGCTCCTCTCCTTCTTCCTCTCCAGCGGGTAAGGTTTCGCTTTCTTCCTCACCCCCTCCCGCACTCTGTCACTACATCCCCTCCCATTTCAGTGGTCGAACTCCCTGTCCCAGATATTGAGGCTTCTTTCGCCCCCGATTCCCTCTTGGTTGCTGCCCTTGCTGAGGTGCACTCCCTGACTTCTGGCCCCCCCCTCCTCCAGCTGTCCTTGCCTGCCCCTCTCAGTTGTCTCCTCCTCCTCCGGACCCCGTCAGTCCGCCTCTGGTCTGTCCTCTTGCTCCCTTCCCTTTATCCTCACTAAGTTTACCCATGCCCCCTAACCCTGATTTTTCCGACCCTGCTCCTGATCCTGAGATTCTTTAATAAACTGTGTTCTTCTAAACCTTTATTTCTTTCTTGTTCTCTGTTACTGTCCTTTCTCTTTGGTAATGTCTATTCTTCAGTGGAATATTCGTGGATTTTATGCCAACTTCCATGAACTCCAACTTCTAATTACACAGTTTTCACCACTTTGTGTTTGTCTCCAGGAACCAATGCTTGGTGCTCGTCCTGGTCACTTTCGTGGTTATTCCTTTCTTTCTCCCCCCCCCCCCCAGCTCTTGCTGGGGCCTGTAACTTTACTGCTCTCTTAATTCGATCTGATATTCCCTTCGTCCCCCTACTTCTTCTGTCACTTGTCCATTGTTCTGCTGCCCGTGTTTTTGTGGGTAAATGGTATAGTCTCTTCCATTTATCTCCCCTCAAATGTCCCGCTTTCCCTTCCTGATCTTAAGCACCTCCTGGACTCCTTGCCAGAGCCGGTGCTCCTTTTGGGTGATTTCAACTGTCGACATTCCCTCTGGGGTGATGTTCTGACAAACACCCGAGGCCGTCTTCTCGAACCGTTCGTCCTCGCTTCTTCTCTATCTCTTCTGAATTCTGGCGAGCCCACTCATGTGGACTCTCAAACTCGCACCCTTTTCTGTATTGATCTTTCTCTCTGCTAGTCGTCACTTTACTTAAATTTCACGTGGCAGGTTCTTGACCTCCATAACAGTGATCATTTCCCTATCCTCGTTTCCTTTTTCTCTTTCCACCCTCCCCTCTCCTTCCCTAGGTGGTAGTTTGCCAAGGCTGACTGGAGCCTATTTACCCTCCGTGCTACTCTCTCTGACCTCTCCTCTCTGCCTCTTCCTCGCGCCCACCTTTTTCATGACACTGTCTTCAACGCTGCCCTCCACTCTATTCCTCGCTCTTCCTCCCGGGGCACACGGAAGTGCGTTCCCTGGTGGAATACGGACTGTGCTCGGGCTGTCCGCTGTAAGCGTGCAGCCTGGAAGAAACACCGCCGCCGGCAGACGGCTGATTCTTTTTTGTTTCAGAAGGCAAGTGCGGTGGCCCATAGGACCATCCGTACAGCTAAACGTGAGAGTTGGAAATCTTATGTTTCCACCATTACATCCGATACTCCTCTGCCGCAGATCTGGAAGAAGATCCGCAAGATAACCAGGTACCATAACTGACGGGGGGGAGGGGGATCCATTGATTGTTTCAAGCGTAGGTTAGACATATATGCATGTATGAATGTATGTATGTATGTAAGTATGTACGAGTTTGGGTGAACACCAATTTGAGCTGCCACGTATGGACCAATAGGCCTTCTGTAGTTTCCTTTGATTCTTATGTTCTCAATTCACCGTACATTATGTTTAGATGAACATCGAATTACCTGCATTATATAATTAAAGCTCTTCCTATTAACTCTGTCGTTAAACTATGATTATTTCAATTATATTTATTGCAATGAGGTACTTATCATTCATGCGTTACTAAGAACTGGAGCGACTTGTCTAGCCGCTACTGAGCTGTTACGGCCCTCTAGAGTCGCAACTGGGTTCTTTCTCTGATGTTAGTAGAGTTTTGGTATCCGGCCCCAAGTTAGTAGTGGCTTTCAAGGGGTGTGTTCCGTAACGCAAGTAAATTAAAGGGGAAGGGAGACAAAGGCAAAAACTTAAATGTATAATTATCACCGTCACCATAAATAATATATAAATTATCACACGGGGAGGTATAAACACTATTATGTACAATATGGTCTTCCTCTGAAGACGCGGAGTGTTCCACGGTGCTCAACGATGCTTAGCCCTTGGTCCTCTTGTGGCCTCACGATGAATCCTTCGATTCTCTCGAGTCTACCCTGGCCACAGGCCAGCCAAATCACAGCTCCACTGGGGGCACCGTCGTGGAGGCCATCAACCACAAATCCAGCCTGTAGCTGGCAGGTTCCAATCAGTTCCGCTGGTTAGGCCACTCCACGACCGATACTAGGGTTGCGAGCCCTATAGGCAGGAGCCTCATGTGACTTCACAGGTCACTCTCCTCACCACAACACAACACCACAGTGGTTAGTCTTCTCCACTAGTCAGCCCCAGGTACAACAATCCCTGAATCTGCCACCTCATAGGCAGGCTAACACAACAGTGTTCATCCGGGGGGGGGGGGGGGGGTGACTCACAGTTTAAGCGGCAAATGCGTGGAGGTTCTACGGCTGCCTTGGGTAGACTGATCCAACGTTCATTACAGCAGTCCCAGATCGACTCTGTAATCAGACACGTCATCAGTACCGGTTACACTCTGGGGCACCTCACTTACAGGCTTAGACACAAACGCCCACCTATCCACTCCATAGATGGCGTTGCTGTCCAAGCGTCACCTCACCAGAGGTCAGCAGCAGTTGTGTTATGAGCTGATCAGGACGGGAAACTAGCCCTTGTGGCCAGTATACCTCGTCCTCACTAGGTGGCGTCGTCCATTTGGAGGGGGTTTCGGGAGCTGACCCACAGATGGCGCTGTCGTCACTGCTCCATGCTCGGACGCTGGGCTCGGGTCCGTAACATGAGCCCAGCGGCTTGGGTCTCCATGGGTAACTCTCACAAATGGGAGCCTTGGTTCATTAATACGCACACCTTCACTCTGTGTTGGAACCAACATTGGAGTGTTGTAAATGTTGCTATGATGGTGTATCCACTCACAGGTAGAGTGGCGCTACCCAATAAACTCGCCCCTCGGGGCAAAACTTAACTTGGCTCTGTTTCTCAAGCCTTTATATGATATTTGCACTGGGAAAAAGGTGGGAAAAGGGTTCAAATTATTTGGTAAAAGGCCAATTTACACGAAAATTACAAATCATAAAAGATGTTAGTAAACTAAGAAAATCACAGTGCATTCCTCCGCACAGTCTCGCTACAGCGCGACTGGGCTGAGCATACTAATAAACTCGGGACTACCTTCTCACTCTCACATTTCACCTATTTTAAGCTTAACTATTCCTTCCAATAGTTTCGGAAATTCTCCCACAGGTTGAACGTACTCCGTAAGGCATCAGTTGATGCAGTAAGTTAATGCATGCACTTGCTTGCTTCAAATATTTGGGCGTCCTATAATTCTGGCCTATTATTGGTATTCATACCTACGCGCAGTCTCGCGGTTGCGACTGGTTGAGCATACCAATTAACTCAGAACTACCTGCTCACCCCCACACACCTGCTCACCCCTACAGGCCTGTTTTAATCTTTGTTAATGTAGTCTTACAATGACCATTTAGTCATAGTTTCCGAAGTTCTCCCGGAGTTAGAAGGTTCTATCTAAATCATCAAATATTTGGCCATTCGGTAATTCTGACCTATTGTAGTTGGTATTCATACCAAGTAATTAACGTGCAATGGTTTCTTAATTGCAAGTAAGTATTATTGGAAACTCAGGGGTTTACAAGTGTTGAAATATTTTGTTAAATAGAAAATAAGTATAAATGGTAACTGGTTTAATGTTATATAATCAACAAAATATTAATATGTAAACTACTTTGGGAAGGTTTTCGAAAGAAATAGCTGTAGGTAAGAGACGTTTTAAGACACGATGCTTTACTCATAATAATATTAGTCTCTGATATCACTGTGTTGTGAACAGTCGCAATATCGCGCGCTACGTCTAGATTGCTGTAATGACACGTCATGTAAGTTATTACGAAATTTATTACGAAATAACTTGTAACTAATGGAAATTGATGACAGGAATAATTTTATTATTAAACTATTAAATAAATAAAGAAGGAATCCTTGATTCCTTCTGAAGATGTATTAATATACGAAAGTACTTATGTAAATTCCTGTTTCAACTCTTCCTCCGTGGTCTGACAGTCATTCATATATATATATATATATATATATATATATATATATATATATATATATATATATATATATATATATATATATATATGAGAGGGAGGAATGGAAGTAACTGCAAAGGGCCTATTGGCCTATACTTCCTCTTGATGCTTCTATTTTGGTACGGAGTCTTGATTATATATATATATATATATATATATATATATATATATATATATATATATAGAGAGAGAGAGAGAGAGAGAGAGAGAGAGAGAGAGAGAGAGAGAGAGAGAGAGAGAGAGAGAGAGAGAGAGAGAGAGAGAGAGAGAGAGAGAGCTTTTTTGTTTATGATCTTGTAAATAGTAATTCATGTACTTGATAACTGTTTTGTGGTTGTTGTTATTGGTTGAAAATAAAACCATGTGAAGGAAGATTGTTTCTCTTCAGCCTTTACTTCTTCACTTTCACTTCTGTGTCACTTCTATCTATCTATCTATCTATCTATCTATATATATATATATATATATATATATATATATATATATATATATATATATATATATATATATATATATATATATATATATATATATATATATATATATATATATATATATATATATATATATATATATATATATATATATATATATATATATATATATATATATATATATATATATATATACAACTCACAAATACAAAGCAGCAATTCACAAATATATAGCGATCACTAACAAATCTAAAGTTACCAAGGACACTTCATCTTTGTATTTTCATCAGGATGAGCCCCGGAAGTTGCAAGCCAGACCGGGGGAGTGGGTGAGGCCAGTCAGCAACCTGGAGATCTTCACAGCAGTAGCGGCGTTTCTTGGCACTGGCAATACAGCTCAGGTGCTGTGGCTCTCCTCGTCTCAGCCCGTCACGCCTGAACATGTTTTACTCTCGCTCTCAGTCATCGCTAGGTGAGCATCGGCAATATACACTGAATATACACTGGTAATTTTGCATTGTGTTCATCTGTTATGAATCCCATACCCATTCCTTGGGTGTTAGTGGTCACGGACGCACATAATAGGCTCAGAAGTTGAACCCCAAAGATAGAGAGAGAGAGGCGGGGGGAGAGTGTGTGTGTGTGTGTGTGTGTGTGCGTGTGTTTGAAAATGGCTTTGCTATTTAAATTTCCTCTTATAACATTTAAGAAGGCTGCAAAATCAAATATGTATTTATTTGATGTTATTTGAAATGTCATTTATGTTATTAAGAATTATATTTATTGGCAGGAAGATACATACTTTGCAGCTATGCCTTACTTGGCGGTGGTTCCGGCCGTGGCTGCGACGAATGGAGGACTTTGTGATCGACTTCGACGTCGACACGGGCGACGCCATGGCGGTATACTACCAGCAGATTCAAGCACCTTACAACAATTCCCGGGGACCATTGTGGCGGGCCAGGCTGGTCCCTCTGCCACAGCCGTCACCTGACCGCCATGAGGCCGTCCTGGTGATCACCGTCCATCACGTCATCACAGACGGGTTCACCAACATGACCATCTCCCGTGACTTGCTGGAGGTGCTGAACGCTGTCATGACTGGACAGGAACACAACACGCCCACACGCCCTGTCATACCTGCCATCGCTGATGAGCTGGTTAGTATGAAAGACTGGATATACTGTCTCGGGGTGTTCTTTCCTGTAGCATTCAAAGTAATAGCCAATATCTTCAGTGGGAAATGCTACAATATTAGTCTTCCACAACCAAGGACAAAATTAGCATTTACAAAGGTAGTACGTGAAGACTTCCCGGTTGAGACAACACAACAGCTTTTACATTACTGCAAGGAAGCAAATGTCAGCATTCACTCGTGTATCATGGCAGCAGCTTACTTAGCACTTTTGCGCACTGCTCAGGAACATTCCAAAGAACACATATATATGCTAAAAGTTGCATTGAATAACGCTGTAAACATGCGTCGCTACTACCCTAGTGTTTACCAGGACTCTCTCGGGTGCCACGCATCTGTATGCAGGCAAGAATTCGTCGTTCATAGCAGTGATGCAGAAAACAAAAGGAGCTTTTGGGCGTTTGCGAAGCGCATGCATGACGACCTCCACCACAGTTTAGAGGTTAGTAAGGCACCTATTCGACACGCTCCGCTTGGATGGTCACTGGCTGGTACTGAACCTATTAACTTCTTGCTGACAAGCCTAGGATACAAGAACTTAATCAATACCAACATGACGTGCAGTAATATGGGCAATCTCAAACACCTCTTGCCTGGTAAATATGGTGACGGCCCCGTGGAGATCACCACCCTGCTGAGGTCCTCGGCCTCAGAGCTCGTTGGTAATCCACTTCTGGTAACATTTCAGACGTTTGAAGAGCGGTTACTGCTGTCGCTCGACTATTACACCAATCTTATTACCGAAGAGGTCGCCAAAATGTTCTTTTCGTGTTTAACATGCTATCTTGCAGATATAGCTCTCTGTGGCAAGATTAACACCTTTAAGACAGATAACACTACAAACGTAAATATCTGAGGCTATGAACACAATAATAATAATAATAATAATACACAGAGAGTTATCACATTAACGTGACTGCATCACTAAGAAATTCCGTAGTAGCCGTGATGAGGAGTTTGAATCTATGTGGTGGGTGTTCCCACGCATACGCTCTAGACGACTAGACCATGACATGGATAAGGATTACAACCTGAAGTTCTGCTGAACACACGAGGGTTTCCTGAAGCTTCCACTGAAGCCGGACCAAAATTTTCACACAATTCCCCATGAACTGTGGCTCTGTCATCTAGGAATGTTCTACCTCTGACGCTCTGTGTATTGAAAGAGGAACGTCATCGGTAGAACATTCCTAGATGACAGAGCCAGAGTGTATGGGAGGATTGTGTGAAAATCCTGGTCCGGCTTCAGTGGAAGCCTCGGGAATCCTCCTGGTTTCAGCTGAACTCCATTTTCCAATCCCTTTGACCATGTCGTGGCCTAGTTGTTTGGGGTGTGTGTCTAGAGAATACATAATGCATAGGTTCGAATTCTCTTCACAGCTCCAACGAATTTTCTCATTGATACATCACATTAGTGTGATTTTGCTCTGTGTAATAATAATAATAATATTAATAATAACAACGCACAAAAATCACATAATACCACGTATTCAATTTAATTAAAGGACTAATATAAACTAATCATTCATTGAACTTACATACAAGATTTCTGCGCCCTCAGCACTCTCAATCAACAGGTTCCAAATATCTTCCGGCAGACAGTTCATGCAACATAGATCTGGCTTCCATAGGACTCAAAATGCCTGTCAGTAAGCCATCTCTCTTTGACAGTAACTCCTAAAAAAATCCAATTATCCAGGAGAGGGTTCTGCCTGCTTTCTCTGCTGACTAGTTGTTCTATTCTATCCTGCATACCTGCTTCACTCTTACAAATGTCACTCATTCTTAAGTTCTATTTCCTGATAATCAAGTTCATATTTCTGGAAAAGCTGAAGTGGCCAGTGACAAGTATGTGCCTAAAAAAGAACTGATTAAGTTTGCTGGATGGGTGATTCCCGCCAGACAAAAGGATATTATTTGTTTGTGAATTATTTCTTCACGTGTAGGTGTGAACATGAGTCCTGCGATGACCACTGAGATGGTATGTAAGACAATAAAACTGACCATAACAAATAAGCATTGTTTGGTTTGATGTCGGGTTTAACGCCAACCAACCTTTTATTAGGTCCACCACAAGTCCTTACTGAATAACTAGCAAGTATACTTCGGGTTTGAAATAATGTACAGTGAAATTAACCTCTCAGTACACACCCGAGAGGTGAGCTATACCTCTCGGTATTAATATCATTGATCAGAATTGTTATATGCCATGATCCCGGTAACTTAATTTGCTACCCAAATCCATCATGTTATATGATGGATTTGCCTCTCCAGCGACCTCTGCCTCTCCAGCGACCTCTGCCTCTCCAGCGACCTCTGCCTCTCCAGCGACCTCTGCCTCTCCAGCGACTTCTAACTCTTCAGCGACCTCTTGCTCTCCAGGAACCTCTCATTCTCCAGGAACCTCTGGCTCCTGGAGAGCAAGAGGTTCCCATATCCATTGCATGGGCTGTAGTGGACCCCATAGATATCCTGCAGGCCGTTCTCAGGGTGCAGTGATTCCAATGCCCGGCTTGCCTCCCTGGTTAAACACATATATTTGTGATGGTCGGAAAGAATATTTCGGTTCCAATATTAGTGTACTCGTAAACTAGCTTATCTTATCTTGAGATGATTTCGGGGCTTAGCGTCTCCACGGCCCGGTCCTCGACCAGGCCTCCTGTTTGTTACACACCGCCCAGGAAGCAGCCATCTAACTCCCAGGTACCTATTTACTGCTAGGTGAACAGGGGACATCAGGGTGAAAGAAACATTTTGCCCATTTGTCTCCGCCTCCACCGGGGATCGAACCCGGAACCTCATGACTACGAATTCGAAGCGCTGTCCACCCAGCTGTCAGGCGCCCATCGGCAAGTGAACTTTTGCTCTAAGAAGATAATATTCTCCGGTTTTAACGTTACTGTATAATAAATTGCAGGGTTTAAAAGATAAAAAGGCTATGCTAAACTTGTTTTCTTTGAAACGGCCAGAAGAGTTGCCCATCACGTGAATTGTAGAGGACCCCGTACTCATTCCATGGGCTGTAGAGGACACTATGCCTAATCTGTGAGAGGAAGTGAAAACCATGCTCATCCCATGGACAGTAGTGGATCCCACATCCATCTCGTTGGCAGGTATGGACCCCATTCCCATCACAAGGATGGTCGACGACCCGAGACCCATCCCGCTAGCAGTAATAGACCCCCCTTAATCCCATCTCTTGGGCAGTTGTGAACTGCATACCCATTCTATGGGCGGTAATGGAGCCCACAGCAATCTCGTGTGCGTATAGAATGCCATAAACATCCCTCTCCTATGGGAGGTAGTGGACTCTATACGCCCATCTCGTGGGCAGTAGAGGACACCATACCTATCCCGTGGGAGGACGTGGACCCTATTCCCATCCCGTGCGAGGTAGAGGACCCAATTATCATCCCGTTTTCGGTAATAGACTCCATACGCATTTTGTGTGCGGTAGTGGAGCCCATACCAATACCATGGGCGGCAGGGGAGCCCATACCAATACCGTGGGCGGTAGTAGAGCCCATACCAATACCTTGGGCGGTAGTGGAGCTCATACCAATACCCTGGGAATTAGTGGAGCCCATACCAATACCGTGGGCGGTAGTGGAGCTCATACCAATACCCTGGTCGGTGTGCCTACCTTCCAATACCGTGGTCGGTATGCTTACCTACCAATGTTCCTACCTGGCTGCCTGCCTGCCTATACCTACCTTCCTAACTACCTACCAGCCTGCTAGCTTGCCTTCTTATCTGCTAGCCTGCCTGTCTTTCCACATTCCTGCCCTGCCAAACGGCCTTCTTAAGTTACAGCAAGAATATAGCGTTACAGAAAACGTGGAAGCTGAAACCTACTCAGTGAAAATATTGTTAGCCATGGATTTAAGTAATAATTTGGTGTTTACTGAATAATAATTTATATAATTGATTTCGTCGGTGACAGGCAGCCTATATAGAGTGCATGGGGGAGTTGTGTAAAACCCTGGTTTGTGTTTCGGAGAGGCTGCAGGATCCAATAAGTTCATTAGAACTTCGATTTCAACTCTTTTGACCATGTAGTAGCTCAGTCGATAAAGGCAGTGTCTTTAGTGGCATGTGTACTGTGTAGTGGCATGTGTACTGTGTAGTGGCATGTGTACTGTGTAGTGGCATGTGTACTGTGTAGTGGCATGTGTACTGTGTGGTGGCATGGGTACTGTGTGGTAGCATGGGTACTGTGTAGTGGCATGGGTACTGTGTAGTGGCATGGGTACTGTGTGGTGACATGGGTACTGTGTGGTGACATGGGTACTGTGTGGTGGCATGGGTACTGTGTAGTGGCATGGGTACTGTGTGGTGACATGGGTACTGTGTGGTGACGTGGGTATTGAGTGGTGTGCATAGTAATTGGTCCCAACAAGGTCAAAATGTTGAATAAGAGATAGATGGGACTTGCCGGGCAGGATCCTGGTTGGCGCAGCGCCCAAGTGGGCGGGGGGGGGGGGGTTAGGTGCTCGCTTATCTCCCTACTGGAGGGGAAGGCTGTGAAGAAGATGGAGATGCGCTGATGAAGTAAATATTTAGATAAATACATTATGGAGTCAGTTATAATAGCAGGACTACTGTCCGCCTTGCTGACACGATGTGCTCTCCTGTGTCAGGGAGGTGCAGGGGGTGAGGTGTGTCAGGGAGGTGCAGGGGTGAGGTGTCAGGGAGGTGCAGGGGTGAGGTGTCAGGGAGGTGCAGGGGTGGTCAGGTGTCAGGGAGGTGCAGGGGTGGTCAGGTGTCAGGGAGGTGCTGGAAGTTGCCCTTTGTTACGCTCAGCCGCACACACTCACATGTTTTACGTACATGTTTCCATGTTATGTTTTAGGTCGGATGTTTTTATGCTAATTTTTTTCTCAAGTTTGGTTTTGCTCGTCTGTTCTGTGTTTTTTAGTGCTTGATTGTCGGCGAGTGTATCCAAGGTCTTGGTCCACAGCCTGGGAGAGAGAGGTGACTCAGCATAAAGTAGTCTCTCTAACATTGGGTCTTTTTAACATTGCATCGTGTTTCTCACCCTAGTGGCTTGCTGCTCTAGTCTGGTGATCAAAGGTTGTATGTTCACTGCTGATCGGTTTTCATAAATTGTTTGGTCATACGGTTGAAGGTGTTTGCGGCACTTCCTTGAGCCGTGATTTGTACTCCTTGTAACTTTTACTTGTTAGTTTTCTTAAGAGTATATATTCGTACAGGAGGGTACCCGAGACTCGGCCGGTCTTGTGTAAGGGTAGCTTTTTCTCTTACAGAAGTGGGTCCAGAGGTGGGTACAGGAACAGAGGCCTTCTAACTCCCGTTAGCAGGCTGAGAGATTTCCTCTTTCCACAGCTCAGGGTAAGCCTTACCCTATTAGGTTTCCCATGGAACACGATCCGCCATGGGAAACCTAATAGGGTAAAGTTTCCCATCCGAACACGATTACTGCTGGGTGAACAGGTGCGAACATTTAAGGATTAGCACCAAATGAATCCCCTCCCCCCCGGTACACAGACCAAACCCGGCAGTTTGGCTAAGACTGTTTTTGCTTTGTTAATTATTTCAGTCAGGTCAATTTTGATTACTGTAATGACCAAACTACACATCAGATGAAGAAGCAACGACGTTTCAATCCGTCCCGTACCGTTATTAAGTTGTTTGATTACTGATCTGTAAATCATCCAATATTGTGCCGACATACGTATGCTGGATTCAGCGGTTGTCAGGGATAATTGGTTCTGGAATTCGTTTTCTAATGTGTAGTATTTGTTTATTGGTACTTATGTTTCAGTGTCTTTCAAAGACGTTTAAGATTTCTACTGCCACCTTGGTTTAGTTATGTGCCCACTCGGGAAGCAAAGGAGAGGGGTACTTGCTGGAGATTATATCCAGGTAGGGAAGAGTCTTGGCTGGAGAGTGAGCCACGTAGAGGTGGGGAAGAACTGATAGAGAGGGCTGAAAGAAAGAGCCGAAAGGACTGAAGATGAAAGATATTGAGGTTTGAGAAGAACTACGAAAGAAGCAACAGAGTGGGGGATTGTTTAAGAATAGTAGAATAATATTAACTGGGAATACCTCGTAGAGGAGTGAGGCTAGACCCGGCCCCCCCTGAAAATTAGTCCCACAAATCAACATAAAAAGTGTGCTGTCTAGGTGCAGATTGCCTAACTCTAAACACAGGAGGAGATAAACTCCAGTTATAACTTACACTATTTATTAATTACTGAACACCCCAAAGTGACATTACTTGCTTCTCGCCTGGTAAACTGATCGTGCTATGAACACTGTTACTCAAACCTCTTATACAGTACTTAACTGCCACCATTCAATACATGTAGTTTAAATGTAACATCCTAGCTTTACAATATATTAGACAACATATAAACATAGTTTACCAGAGTTTTCCCGAGAGCTACTAACTCTAGTGGCCTCGACGAGGACAGAAAGCCGGCGGCTTGTCGAACCCTTCCTTCCCATTTGCCTTAAAAATGGTGTATCTAACCATCTAGAAGTACCAAATACTCTTACGTATGACAGAGACTACATTCCCGCCATTTTTTACTGGAATTAAGCAACCTGTCTATATTGCATTCAAAGATGCAAACCCTCTTTTTTATCAAAACATATTTAATTCGGTCTCCTAAATATAATTAAATAAAATTCATAGCCTATCACATGGTATGAACGAACCATAAATGTCCCTTACCTTCTCTGTGTGAACCACAGGTACACCACACTCCACAAGTTTGTACTCAAACAACCGGAGCTTGGGTCGTAACACGCACACCGCACATACACACGTGCGTGCGGTGGCCGTCATAACCGGACATGTACACGGAGGCGAGTGCGTGCCTGCGGGCGTGTGTGTGTGTTTATGTATGTTCGGAGAACAATGAAATGTTTCATCCAGTGAGCCACATATGTATATTGCCCTATAATTGTTGGAGCTCAATTTCGTATATTTTAGATTGGAATTACTGTAAATATGCTATGTACCAAGGACACCTGCATAGCTAAATGTACTATTGGGTTCAGGTTCTGTAAACCTTTGCAGGACGAGCGAATAGTTTCGTGTTCGCGTACGAGTGAGCATGGTTGACCTTGCCTCTAGTATAGTCCATCAGGAACGCACGCGGAATAAATAACGTTCCTTGCATCCTTCTCGAACATTAACCATATGTTGCTAATTTATTCAAGGTCTCTTGTACATGACAGTACATAAATACTTAAACAAAAACCGTCAACGTTCTTACGAAACAATGACATGAAAAAAACGGGTTACCGACACCTTTTGATTACTGAATGACTCAGTTGGTCGCAGCCAGAGTGTCAGTGTGTTACGAGCGGCTCTCAGAGGAGGACCTTCAGCGCCTTAGTGGTACAGTAACCTGCCAGTTGGTATTATCTTCCTGCCTCCCTCCTGGGACCTGTCTACCTCCCACTTGGGACTATCACTAGCTAGGCCCTCTCTGCCTCCCTCCTGGGGACCATCACTAGCTAGGCCCTCTCTGCCTCCCTCCCTTCTGGGTCCTACAATATTAAGGATCTCTCTACCGTCCTCCTGGGACCAACACTACTTATATATATATATATATCTTGAGATGATTTCGGGGCTTTAGTGTCCCCGCGGCCCGGTCCTCGACCAGGCCGCCACCCCCAGGAAGCAGCCCGTGACAGCTGACTAACACCCAGGGACCTATTTTACTGCTAGGTAACAGGGGCATAGGGTGAAAGAAACTCTGCCCATTTTTTCTCGCCGGCGCTCGGGATCGAACCCGGGACCACATGATCACAAGTCCAGTGTGCTGTCCGCTCGGCCGACCGGCTCCCATATAAGAGGTCTTACATTCTTGTAAAGTAACTAGCACGCATTGCGTTTCGGGCAGGTCCTTAACCCTAATTTTTACTCGGAAAACGACCGAATTCAGTTCAATATCTTTGTTTATTAGGCACCCCATACCCATCCCGTGGGCGGTGGTGGAAAGGGTTACAAAAGACACATAATGGGTTCAGGAACTGAACCCCAAAGTTCATTTAGTTAAGCAAGTGACAATCTTTTGAAGCTAGTTACACAATGTTAGTGTTACATACACATGTACATATATATATACATCCATGTAGACAAATACATATATACATATCAATAATCTGTTTATATCACAAATGATTCAACAAGAGGCTCACAACAGTCACTATACTAGACACTTTACATCTATGGTGAGTCAGACAGTTACTAGTCATGTACTACACACCCACCCAACTGGGCAGCAGCTTTAGTAATGTGCTCCACACCCACCCAACTGGGCGGTAGCTTTAGTAATGTGCTCCACACCCACCCAACTGGGCAGCAGCTTTAGTAATGTGCTCCACACCCACCCAACTGGGCGGTAGCTTTAGTAATGTGCTCCACACCCACCCAACTGGGCGGTAGCTTTACAGTCATGTGCAGGCTGCACCTACTGTAAGCACATTTTTCGCTAAGATTCCTGGTAGTACAGCATTATACATATAGCACTTACACATTATTTTGGACTCTATTAATGGTGTTATCTCTGAATTCCGCGATGTTTTTCACATTCCAATATATAATGACGCACAGTATGTGAATATTTCTGCTGACAGAGTTCACATTTAATCAAATCTATATCAGCAGAGACAAGCCATATCGTTTAACAACCAAGGTACCCATTCACTGCTGGATGAACAAAGACTACAGTTTAGGAATGGGGCCCAGTCAATCCTCCCCGGCCAGGATACGAACTCAGGAAAAAGCGCTCGTGAAGCGCCGCGCCAGTGTTTGGCCACAGCGCCTACAACTTTTGGCCTTATGTAACGCAAACGAGCGAAAAACGTCGCTCTTTGTAGGATAGGTTGGTGTGTGGTGTGTGGGTGCATTGTGTTGCATAGTGTGGAAGCGGGTGGGAAAGAGGAAGGGGGGGCAGCAGGGAGAGGGCCAGGAGGGGGGGGGGACTCAAATGGTCACCCATGTGTCAACTGCGTACCCAGCTGAGCAGCTTATTGTTTTAAATATATTGCGCGTCTTATGAGTTATAACCAAGCCTTACTATGATATTGAAATAGCACTGTTCACCGTATGACGATTGTGTGTGTGACTGTAACATTGAAAACTCATACCTAAATACATAATACATACCATAAATACATAAAAATATATTGACTACAAACCCTTCCACAGCATCCGCTGGACAACACATACCCTCCCACAGCATCTACTGGACAACACATACCCTCCCACAACATCAGCTGGACAACATATACCCTCCCACAACATTTGCTGGACAACATATACCCTCCCACAGCATCCGCTGGACAACACATACCCTCCCACAGCATCTACTGGACAACATATACCCTCCCACAGCATCTGCTGGACAACATATACCCTCCCACAGCATCTGCTGGACAACACATACCCTCCCACAGCATCCGCTGGACAACACATACCCTCCCACAGCATCTGCTGGACAACATATACCCTCCCACAGCATCCGCTGGACAACACATACCCTCCCACAGCATCCGCTGGACAACATATACCCTCCCACAGCATTTGCTGGACAACCTATACCCTCCCACAGCATCCGCTGGACAACATATACCCTCCCACAGCATTTGCTAGACAACCTATACCCTCCCACAGCATCCTCTTGATATCATATACCCTCCCACAGATGTTTATATGATGTCAACCCCCTGTTACATAATGAAAGAGAGAAAGAGAGAGAGAGAGAGAGAGAGAGAGAGAGAGAGAGAGAGAGAGAGAGAGAGAGAGAGAGAGAGAGAGAGAGAGAGAGAGAGAGAGAGAGAGAGAGAGAGCGTCTCTCTCCCAACCCTCTCCTTTTCTCTTTATCTCTGTTTTTCTCTATCTCCCTCCCTCCCTCCCTCTCTCTCTATCTCCCTCCCCTTCACTCTCTCTCTCTCTCGACTAATAGCTATTCCAAATATTCTTCACTGTTACAGGTTGCTTATAGCCAGGACTCAGCGTGACGCTCTTCTCACTCATCCCTGTTATGGTTAAATCCTGGAACGTTGCGCTTTTTATAACTGTTCAAGCAATTAAGAAAATCAGTGCTTGGTGACCAGTGGGAAATTTGTAATTTTTGTTGCTTAAACCATCTCAAGTGGTTAGATCTTTTGTGACGATGGAGTGTAACCAGAAGGCAGCATTCCAGCAGCCTTCACTGACCCTTGACCTGGATATAACCCCAGGCCCCCACGACGCCAACATCTCTCAAGCCGCCCATTTCTCGCTATTCGGTGCCTACGTGAACCCAAGCACAGTCCTGCTGTTTCTGTCTGGCAACTTTTTATGTCTGGTGAGTTCAAACTTTAGATTCTTGCAGTCTCCAAATTATTTAAACCTTTCTTTCTCGGTACATGTGCATGAACTTTCCCCTAGTGTGTAAATGTAACACACTTCCCATCCACCTGAGTTAACGTCTCTCAAAAACTACATAGGTCCTTCCTCAGCTTTTATGTCAAAAGCGCTGAAGTGTCAAATATGTAATTTTCTATTAGTTTTACCCTGCGTAACACCCCCATTTCCCCTCCCCCCCCCTTTTCAGGAACATGTTTATGTTGATCACACTAACCCCTCCCCTTTTGAATATCATTGGGTGTAACACACTAAAACTCATCCTGTAGTGTCTGTAATACTCTCATAGGGCACAGTATTAAAAACCTATGTTCAATATCGGTATCATAATTGTTATTGCCGCCTACTGCCTCGAGCATGCTTGTGTAGAAGACAGCATATTTGCAAGGCAACATTGCCATCGAAATAGAGCACGATTAAAATCTTTTATGAGGCCATATGATTAAAGTTTTCTCATTAAATTCATTGTTACTGATTCAAGAAACTTCCAAGTATCTTAGTCAGGCAATTCAAACAATAATTCAAAGGAAAGGACCTGTAACCCCTATCTTTAGTGTCATACCACAGTGGCTACTCGCCACTTTGAATTATTCCACTGCTGATTGATTTATTGAATATTCTTAATACAAGGGTCACAGAGTTTCTCCTTTAACTCCAACATTCTACTAATTACCTCATTTGTATCACAATTTATGTAGTTTAACTTTGTGTTATATTTAACTATATCAGCTTTATTAACCAGAATGTTGCATAGTTTATTTTCATTGCCAAACTTGCAGATTCAGTTGCTATAATATTAATAAACTTACTGAAATATGAGGCATTGCCTCACCCTGTAACGACAAACAGACTCATTGGACATGTCAAGCTTATAAAAGCATGCAATTAGCCAATTAACACTCTAAAATAACTCTTTATACTTAGGTCTGAATGCTGATGCCTGTCTGACAAGTAACTCTCTTGTAGAGTTTAGGCACGATATTTTGTCACAACTTTGCTGTATAATGTTCTAGTAGCATTGCTATTTGATTATGTTCTTAATTGCTGTTGCAGTAGAATGAGATAAAGTAGATGGTGGAGGTAGAGTTACCTTGTGTGCTCCACTCTACACTGTTTTTAGATTATTTTACTAGGAATTTTCCTTGTAGATATTGTCCAGGTACTCTCCCAGTTCTAGAGAGTAATCACTGGTGATAAAGATAATTGAATAAGGTGTCCTAAGCTGAATAAAGTTCACAAGGCACCACACACGTTTCACCCTATTAGTAAACAAACACGTTCTGGCCCCGGGCCGTGGTGGGCGTTTCTCTCCCAGCCGTCGCCCCCCCCCCCCATGCTCCCTGAGCAAGGTAGCCTTCAATGAATATTGATTGATTATTTTTACTGTCTAGACATATGATTGTGATAAGATGTGAATATAATATAATTAGATATAAGATTTAAAGATTATAAGTAATACTTGCTAGCCAGGATAAGAACCTGGGACCAATTTCTCACGCAAAGCAAGGTAAGTGTGTGTTACTACAGCGCCTGACTTCAGACACAGGCATACCTGGTCGGGGTCACGTTTCATATTACACCTTGAATGTTCATAAATTATTCATTTTCAAAAACGAAAATTAAAATACAAGACAAAGTTTGTTACTTGTAATCTCTTCCAATCTTCCCAAATTTGAAGCTGGTGGCCTACTTCCTCCTCACCATCTACCGGACTGTCAGAGGTCATCAACAGAGTGATTCAGACAAGACCGAACTCAGGACAATATCAGCCCGTCCCGGGGAGTGGGTAAGACCAGTGAGCAACCTGGAGATATTCTCAGCAGCAGGAGCAGCTTTTGGCAAATGCAATACAGCGCAGGTGCTGTGGCTTTCTTCTGCTCAGGCCATTTCACCTCAGGACGTTAAACGCGCTCTCTCCATCATCGCTCGGTACGGCACAACATTTTGTACAGTAATTACAATAATGGACAAAACTAATTATAAACCCTATTATGGCATAAATGTTTTGACCACTGTTAACATTTCGAAAAATCTTTTGGCAGGAAAATACATGTTCTGCAGCTATGCCTTGCTTGGCGGTGGCTACGGCCGTGGCTGCGACGAATGGAGGACTTTGTGGTCGACTTCGACGTTGACACGGGCGACGCCATGACGGTATATTGTCACCAGATTCAAGCACCCTACAACTATTCCCAGGGACCATTGTGGCGGGCCAGGCTGGTCCCTCTGCCACAGCCGTCACCTGACCGCCACGAGGCCGTCCTGGTGCTCACCCTCCACCACGTCATCACAGACGGGTTCACCAACATGACCATCTCCCGTGACTTGCTGGAGGTGCTGAATGCTATCATGACTGGACAGGAACACAACACGCCCACACGCCCTATCATACCTGCCATTGGGGATGAGCTGGTTAGCAGGAAAGATTGGATATACTGTCTGAGGCTACTCATGTCTACCACATATCAAGTAATAGCTAATATGTTCAATGGGAAATGTTTCAATATTAGTCTTCCCCAACCTACATCAAAATTAGCACTTCTGAAGGTACTTCGTGAAGACTTCTCAAAAGAGACAACACAACAGCTTTTACATCACTGCAAGGAAGCAAAAGTCAGCATACACTCGACCATCATGGCAGCAGCTTACTTAGCACTTTTACGCACTGCCCAGGAACATTCGAAAGAAAAATTAGACGCCCTAACAATCACTTATGATAACGCTGTAAATATGCGTCGCTACTACCCTAGTGTGTACCAAGAGTCTCCGGGGTGCCACTCATCCATGTGCAAGCAAGAATACGTTGTCAGAAGCAGTGACGCAGCGAGCAAGAGAAGCTTTTGGGCGCTAGCAAGGCGTATGCATGACGATCTCCACCACAGTCTTATTGTTAGCAAAGCACCTATTTGGAGCGGAGTTCTTGGTTGGGCACTGGCTGCTATCCAGCCCTTTAATTATGTGCTCACTCGTCTGGGTTACAAGAACCTAATTAACACCAACATGACGTGCACTAACATGGGCAATCTGAAGACTCTTCTGCCAGGTAAATATGGGGACGGACCCGTCGAGATCACCAGCCTGCTTCGGTCCACAGCCTCTGAGCTCGTAGGAACCCCATTTTTGGTCGTCTTTCAATCCTTTGAAGGAAGGTTGCTGATGTCACTCGATTATTACATCAATAATATCACAGAAGAGAATGCCAAAATGTTCTTTTCATTCCTCACACATTACATTGCTAATGTCGCTCGCTATGGCAGCATCAACACTGACAACTGCTACACAAATACAACCTTTCACAGTGTTCAAAAACTTGATAAACACCTCCAAAGGATCCTTAATCAACCAGATTGATTAGGTATCATGTGATTCATACATATCAGACTGCAAACAGCTGGGTCTAACAGCCTCGTTGACCAACCAGGAGGCTTTGTTAGTGACCGAGCCACAGGGACATTGATCCCCAGAATGAGCATCAGTTAAGTAGACTTTTCATGACATTTCTTACTCTTTCACTACCTTATCTACTCTTCACAACCTTCCCTTCCCTTTTCTTGAGCCAATTTTAGCGGTAATAAAGATATTGCATTCTTCGTCCATTGTTAGTCAGGTGATTGTTGCCGACGGAGGCAGTTGGTTTATTGTGCACCCCATACTCATCCTGTGAGCGGAAACTCAAAACATGATTACACAGAGCACAAAAGACCTCAACCCCCTAGGGCACACTATAAGACCACAAAGACCCGCCAACTCCTGGGAATTCTAAGTGAAATCGGCGCTGGACACTATCGTTAAGGATTTAATCAGACCTCAACCGTGATTTTTACATTAACAATTACATCTAACCTGCACACACCTTGTAATTATTATGCCAGTTAGTTACAAATATTGTTCAACAAAATATCTATGTATTTTACAACAAATTACTATAAACTGAAGGTAGGTCTTTTGTTTATCAATATAATATTTTAATTATGGGATATTACAGGATCATAAAAGAACAACTGTTTATTATTACATAGTGTGAAGACTATGTAGTCTTCACACTGCACAGTCTATTCATAATCTCACATGTTATATATTACTAGAAGCGAAATTTCGATACAATGCAAGGATTTTATCACTTGTAATAAGATGGTTTGCCATATCATGGAGCGTGTGTTTAGCTTTATCTATAAATGACTTTGTTCAGTCGAAAATATAATGCTCTGGTGCATGTCCATCTTTGTCACGCACTTTGATCCAATGATTAACAATGGATCTGCTAGTTTCTGTTTGTACTTTTCTACTTTCTTCATATTTATTTAAGAGTTCTCGTCTATTGACACTTTTAAGTGTTAGTCAAGTGAACCAAGGTCCATTCCTGTCCCGTGGTGTGGTCCTCATCTCTTATCCGGCCACCTCAGTCTACTGGAGTTGGATCGCGTCTAAATCTTATGCTAAAGTGTTCCTCTGAAATGTTGAGAAACGTTAAATACATTCTTGTCCTCCTTAGTTTAAGCCTATTTTATATCGTCGATATTAAGACGATTCTCTTCTTATTTCTTATATTCACTTATATGTAGATGTTTATTTTTTATGTGAATTTTAAACACAAATTAAACCTTTACTTATGGAATTGAAATTAATTTCCTAGTAATATCTGTTGACTTGTTAATTACTATTAATAGTGCCCAATTTAATTCTTCTGTATACTGAAAATTTACAATTACTGGACAAGGCTTGTATTATTTAAGTTTTTGTCCTAAATTATTTGAAATAAGCATACTTAAAACTTTATTAAATAAATTTTTTTATTATTCCTCTGCAAATTATGTGATGAAGTAAATGTCTTTTACAAGATTTTTCTGTCTAATGCCTTTTTTCCAAGTAAAATATTTCACAGAATTTTAAGGAAATTTGTTATCACCAAATTCGTACTTATTGCTAAAATTCTGACAGTCTCTAAAGATATTCATTACATAAAAATTTACATAAAGGGCAAACTTGGAAACATATATTCTCAAATTAGCTTTCAAAATGTGCTTACCAATAATATTGTTACTGGAAACTATTTAAACGTAGAAATTCTATGCCTTTTGATCTCAGATTTGGTGTTGTTTAATTTTTTTAAATATTGGAGCTGCATGGTACGACACCTCACAATACATTAAACACCGTTTTCGGGAGCCTACGAGTAACTCTTTACGAGTTAAATTTATTATTAATTAAATTTATTAATAATTAAATTATTAATAATTAAATTTATTAATAATTAAATTATCAATAATTTAATTGATTAATAATTAAATTTAGTAATTGACTTTCATCGCCATAACGTGTTTCAATCAACGAGACGAAAAATGAAGGTATTGAGACGATAATTTTTTTTTACAAATATCCATGGAGATACAGAATGGAAACAACTGTTGATCAGCGAAGTTGCAGAATCTGTTATGAGAGTGACGGACACCACGTAGACCTCTATCTACGTGAATGTGAACACCTGAGAGACATTAGAAGTATGTGTAGAATAATAAACCCCACATCGTTTGAATTAGGAAAACACTATTTGTCAAATATTGATACTGTTCTTAAAAGATTTCCCCATTTTGTACCCGCATGATAACGTAAGCTTTTAAGGGTTGACAGATGTTAATCTTCTTGTTTGAGGAGCTGTTCACTTGAGACAGTTAAGCAAGTGCCAGCTGTGTCTGGGTACAAGTGATAGGATGAACAACCAAGTGGGTTTTCTTCCTTTTGGGGAGTGATGTACATACTGCTATAGCGGTATGTCCACTCACAAGATGAGTGGCGCTGCCCAATAAACTCGGGGCAAAATTTAACAATTTAATTTGCGGAAGATTCAAATAATTATTATAAATGCAATGGGTAGGGGTGGGTAGAAGGTGGCCGTGATTTGTTGAGTGGGGCCCCAGGGTATCGTGTTGAGTGGGGCCCCAGGGTATCGTGTTGAGTGGGGCCCCAGGGTATCGTGTTGAGTGGGGCCCCAGGGTATCGCGCCGCGATTCTGTAGGCCTTCAGCCTGGCCCCACCAGACGGCGCCTCGCGCTCTCGTGCTGGCGCTGAAAAGCCTCCGCCCCCCCCCCCTCCTCCTGAGGACAATGGCAGGTGTGCAGGTGGATACATGTACCTCACCTGCCTCAGCCTCATTACAAGTGTGTGATCCCAGCCACGTCAGCAGCCCCGCTCCTCTGCCACGTAAGTCCACTACGGGCTCGCCGTAGCCCGTGCTGCTTGGAACTTCTTGTTCTCAGTAGCTGAATCTTACACAACAACAGCAGCCAGCCCCCTTTTCCCAGGCCTTCGGCTCCCACACGCAGGGGCTCTGTTCCTGTACCCTCTCGGGTGGGGGGAGAGGGAGCAAAGTCTGACCCCCACCCCCTCCGGCAATACAATATTACTGTATTACATTGTTAATTTACCCATGGTAGCACTTTCACCAATGTGAGTCCCCATTGTTAGACTTACTCTCTAGACGTTACACATTATTCAATTTACCCTTGTTACACTTACCAGTTTAATATACAAGGTTAATCTCACGATGTTAAACTTAAATAACTTGAATTCAAGAAGTTACAATACATTGTTAACTTCCAACGTTAATGTTGTCACAAGTTATTTTACCCAGAGTAAAACTTCACCAATGTTAATTACCCTTATTATTCTTATCAAAGTTAATGCACAAGGTCAATTTATCCAATATTGAAATGCACCTTATTTTATTACTTCATCATAAAAAAATTATATAATGTATAATTAAATCTATAAATAAACTTTTATCGCCTAACGTGTATGAATCAACGAGACGAAAAATAGCTATTTCAGGTTGAAATGCAATACTGTTTTACGTTGGTGAGCTGCCACTGTCACCAGGAGTTTAAATATCACACGTAGTGTAGGTTAATGCATTACATAAGTGAGGTTAGATGGGGTAACAGATAGATACTGTAGAAGCATCAGCTGGCGGCTGGGGGGAATGTTATGGAGTGAGGTGATATAATGGACAAATGTTGGTGGGTGACTTTGACTTTCCCACCCCTAAACTCCCACCTTGACCACAGTACGTCTAAGGTTGCTTGCCTCTCTCGCATTCCGACGGTTTTCTCACACACACACACACACACACACACACACACACACACACACACACACACACACACACACACACACACACACACACACACACACACACACACACACACACACACACACACACACACACACACACACACACACACACACACACTCTCTCTCTCTCTCTCTCTCTCTCTCTCTCTCTCTCTCTCTCTCTCTCTCTCTCTCTCTCTCTCTCTCTCTCTCTCTCTCTCTCTCTCTCTCTCTCTCTTACTCCCCCCACCTCTCTCTGAACCACCTTCCTCCCTACGTCTCTTCCTATCTCCCTATCTGTCTAGCTCACCTGTTCTGGAAAGGTAATAAGGCCTCAAAGAAATGCTCACCCCCCCCCCCCTCCTCCTAAGCACAACCTTTCCTTTCCACCCCTTATTCCCCCACTACCCTCTCCCTCTCTCTCTCACCCCTCTCTCTCACCCCTCTCAACCTTTTTTCTCACTCCACTCTCTCACCCCTTTCTCTCACCCCTCTCTCTCACCCCACTCTCTCACCCCACGGTTTCAGCAGTTGATTTGTTGGAGATGTAATAAGACATGCGATAGCTAAGATGAGGTCTGGAACAAGGCAGAGAGCTGAGTGAGGCCCGGAGTAGAGAGTCAGGATGTGGGATGAGAGTGTAGAGCTTGGATCTATGAAGATAGGTGGGGTCGAAGAGGTTGAATGCAGCTGGAGTGTGGCTGTCTGTTCTGTAGCAAGGCTGAAGTGTCTTGTGAGGGTAAGAACTGGACTCGGCGAATCTTACATTGTTGCTTGTGAATGTCAATGGGTGTTGAAAATGTGCAGTATCGCTCAAGCGTCTGTACTGAACAACTATACAAATTTAGACTGAAAACGATCTGTTGTCGTTTTAGATTTTGCTACTCAGAACGAAATGTCCATGTAGCACAGGCTATAGTGAGCCTGTAATTGAATTTGGTTATTCGCGATAACCTTGTTACTGTGATATTTGGGTCAAAGTTCTAAATGGAGGTGGGGTTTCCTACTTTTCTCTCGTTTATTTTCTGCTTCTGATTTAGTGCACTGGTTTTAGTCTTGTGGCTTGTGGCCTTTATTCTCAGGGAGCCGGTGGCTGAACGGACAGAACACTGGATGCGTGATCGTGTGGTCCCGGGTTCGATCCTGGGCGCCGGCGAGAAACAATGGGCAGAGTTTCTTTCACCCTGAAGCTCTTTTTACCTAGCAGAAAATAGGTACCTGGGAGTTAGTCAGCTGTCACGGGCTGTTTCCTGGGGGTGGAGGCCTGGTCGAGGACCGGGCCGCGGGGACACTAAAGCCCCAAAAATTATCTCAAGATAACCGTCTTAGTGTACAAGGACAAGCATTTTATTGCTTCTTATTTACACTTAGTACTTAACCTATAGCTATATTGATATTACAGTTTTATAAAACTAATAAAACAAAACTATAATCTTTCAGTAACTTATAAAGTAACTCAGGATATTTTAAAATTTTGTATGAAATCTCTATTGTTTAATAAAACTGAAAAAGAAATTCTTCATATTTAAAACTTGTGGATATAGAATTCAATATGAAAATTTTATCCTAAAATTCTGAGTGTTTTAACAGAAAACGAGGAGAATATATAGGGAGGAAAGTGTAATTATGTACTATTCCTAGCAATCAGGAATTTTAATTATTACACTTAGTATTAAGCTGTACTGTCAATTCGGAAGATGGGTTGCAGCCAACCAATAGAAACAAATTTATTTGTTTATCTATGTACAAGAAAATACAGTAGGCTTGTGAGAGTACATATCAATGGTGTTATGGCTTGCTAAATTGGACTGAGAGTAATAAACCAATTATAGAGTAATTATGGCGATATTTAACCATAATATAATAATTATAACGCATATAATAATACAATAATTACATGGCCGACAAACATGCGCAGAGACCTGGCTAGTGGTCCTGGGAGCAGATGGGGCGTCAGTGCGATCGCCGCCTGTGAGAGGTGAGGACGTTTATTTACTGAGCACTGGGCGCCTTTCTAATTAGTTTTGTCAAAGACAGGTAGGCTGCGTATATATATGTACGTCAGGCTTATATCGAGGTTTCCCCAAGGTCGAACTACTGACCTTTCCCAGGATGCAACCCCACAACAGCTGACTAAATTCTCATGTATCAATTTACGGCTAGATAAACAGAGCCATTAGGTGATAGGAAACTTGCCCAACAATTTCTGTCCAGCGCGGGATTCGAACTTGGGATCCTCTTTGAGAGTGGAGAACGAACGTCTTTGTTATTACGGAAGTTAACATAAGTGTATGAATAGTGCGTCCTATTTATTACTTTTTTGTGTATATTAATATCAGTAAACATGCATGATTAACCCCATCTACAGTAAGAACTGTAGACGTGTATACATTCGGAACTATGGTGGTGGTGTGATAATAATTGGAGGGCTGATATGGGACATGTATAGGAGGGTAGAAATAGCCTAAGCTATTCTATCCCTTTGAGATGTATTTTATTGTCTCAATAAACGTACTTTAATTTAAACGTGTGTGTTGACTGTTAGACATAATGCCCTGAAAGTTTTAAATGCGAATATAAACTCATATCATGATCATTTCCGTTCATTAAACTGACCTAATAGGTAGCTTGAGGAATGTCACAGCCAGGGAGGTGGCCGCCATAAACCATTGGTAAGACTTAGCTGTAGAGTAAGTATACTTCTGCTCGGCCCAGTCCAACTGGTTACAT